CTGGCTCAACCTGTTTTATAGATGAAGAAACTGATACTGAGAGAGATTAACATTCAGGTGGAGATCTGCAAAGTCAGGCCACTGGGCAAAACATAGTCTATGTGACCCCATATTTTAATCTTGTTCAACCATTGGGTATCTTTGGCTCAGCCAGACTGCAGGACGGTGAGATTTTCTTTAGACTAATCCCATCACTTGAGGACTATAAACAGTTTTTAACCCTGACAGATCTTTGCTGTAATTAAAATTTATCCCAGGCCTTAGGCCCATGGAAGAAGGGGGCTGGCACATGGTTCAAGGACACATGGGGGATAGGCAGACAAGTGAGGGTCAGACACAGACATAGACAGGTGTTAGAAAAATCTGAAACAAAAATCTACTACAGGAGTGAGTGAAGGAAAGCCTTTATTACGCTTCTCACAAGAGAAGCAGGCACGTGGGCTCAGGTTTAGTGGTACAATCAACTTTTAAATGGTTAGTAAGATCCATACTCCACCCACTAGGGCTAGGATTGGTCTAGTTCATCTGAGTTACACTCTTCTTGGACAGCCCATCCCATGTTCTTCCGTGTTCCTCCTTGTCATGTTAGGTCATGCATCCCATGATCAAAAATGGCGACTGTCTCCATCCTCAGGGTGTGTCAGTTAATACTTAATAAGCTTATTAAGCAAGCACAGTGGAGAAAAGCCTTTGCCTGGTCGAGGCCCCGTCCTTGAACCCAATGGGTTGCAACCTGTTTAGTCTCCGGGGCTCTTTCTTAAGGAGTTACTTATTTACAGAATGTTTGGCATACTTTCTGACTGGTTGAAGGACTATCCACAAGATCTTGGAATTCCTTAGACTCCCCTTGTTCTGTTACTTATAATCCTGTCTTACACAGAAGAGGACAGGGGACAGGTAGAGCCAAGGACAGATATATAGTACCCAAGGAGAAGACAGCCACCTTGGGGTCAGACATTCAGGCAGGTGGGCAGAGAGGAGCAAAGGTCTCCTCTCTTGGTACTGGAGGTCTCAGCAGCAGCAACAGTGGTGGCTGTCTCTCTGTCTCCTTTCTTCTGCTTTCACTTGGAGCCTTTTTCTTTTTTTTCTTTTGGAGGGGGTGGAGAGGCCTTGGAGCACTGAGCTGAGGGGCAAGAATAGAGAGAGAGAGAGAGCGAATTTATTATATAGTAAAGTTAACATTGGTGTTTTTGGGGAATTCAGATTTCTTTCAGGATTCTTTACATAAAGTCGAATTTGCTTAATGCAAATTTACATAAAGCTAGAACTGTCTGTGGGGCAGCTAGGTGATGAAGTGGATAGAGCACTGTGCTTGGAATTAGGAAGACTCATCTTCATGAGGTGAAATCAGACCTTAAACACTTACTAGTGTGACCCTAGGCAAGTTACTTAATTCTGTTTGCCTCAGTTTCCTTATCAGTAAAATGAGCTGGAGAAGAAAATGGCAAACCACTCCAGTATCTTTGCCAAGAAAACCCTAAATGGGGTTGTAAAGAGTTAGATACAATGGAAACTTCTCAAGGACAACAAAGCACTGTCTCTACTCCCATCACCTGAGAACTAATCTAATCTCCTAATGGTACTGTAATGGGGAGGAGCTGAGATGACATTTATCCCACCTCCTTATATGTAAATTGTTCCTTTACTGTCTATTAAAACAGGTTGGAGCTTGGATTTAGCACTCATTGAGGGCAGGGACTATCTTTTTATTAAGTATCTTCCTAGTGCTGGCATTATAGGTGCTTAATATATTTTGATTGGATTGGATTGGAAGAACAGAAGAGACTAGAGAGCCCAAAGAGACTAATGAAATCATTCCTCTGTCCTGATTCCACCAACTATTGGTGGTTGGTGGTGATGCAGTTTGGGATGCTGGAAACCATGATGATGTGGTCTTGGTTGCTGGGAACCCTGAAATGTCAGGGTATAGAGGAGGTCTGCCTGGAAAGAATTCACACACTCAAACCTTCTTCCAGTCAAAGTGGCAAGGTTTATTATAGTGCCAATAGGATGGGGATAGATTCTCAGTGAATCTGAGCCTTAATGGGGTGAGATTGATACTTGTACCTGGCCCCGGTGTGACAATGAAAGGAGTTAAGTAGTCTGGGGTGGGTCAAGAGGATAGTGAAAGGACTGTCAAGCAAACTAATTAAGTGATCTAGATGGGCTGGGGTGGGCTGGGGTGGGCCAGATGCTTTGGGTGAGATGGCAGTGATCTGGGCCCCTGAAATGCATGGGAAAATTCAGGGACTGATTTGCTTTCAAAGACATGGTCTTTTACTTTTAGGGGTCCAGGCCCCATTACCCCATCAGTGGTGTTCCACCACCTCTCACATAGGCAAGGCATTGATCTTCACCAGTGAGGAGAGTTCCACCAATGGGCTTTGGGCCTTGGGCTGCATAAAAACAAAAGGCATCAATAAAGCTTATTTTTTTAAAAAAAAGCCCAGAAACTCACTTTCTCTCTCTCTGTCTCTCTCTCTCTGTCTCTCTCTGTCTCTGTCTCTGTCTCTCTGTCTCTCTGTCTCTCTCTCTCTCTCTCTCTCTCTCTCACACACACACACACACACAAAACAGGCATTCTGTACACTACATTTATGTACCATAATGAAACAAAATTAGTAATAAATGATGGTGCAATGAAGAAAATTCATTGGAATTTTCCTGTTCATAGGAATTCATAGAAACTAAAAAAAAAAAAAAGAAATGCTAAACAAAGACTTGCTAAATAGATAAAACAAAAACACTCTCACAGCTCATATATGTGGAAAGCTATGGTCAAATCTTGGTCCACCTAATTCTAAATACTTCTCCAATTTTCTTTGATTGCTTTGATTCTGTTGATTCTGATTTGTTGGTATTGGATTTGTTGGTAAACCTTTGGTTCTTTTTCTGTATTCTCACCTGTCTGTTTTTTTTTTAATTTCTTTATTTTGTTATTAATTTATTTTGATTTATCAATAATCACCTCCATATGCTTTTGAGTTTATAATTTTTCTCCCCCTTCCTCCCCACCACCCTCCCCAAGACGGCACACAACCTGATACAGGCTATATATTTACATTCATATTAAACATATTTTCACTTTAGTGATGTTGTAAGCAGAAATTAAGACCAATAGGAGTAACTATCAGAAAGAGGAAACAAAACTCAACAGAAGAGAAAAAAAAATAACAATTTGGCTTCCATAGTTCTTTGTTTGGGTGTGGATAGCATTTTCCATCATGAGACTTTTGGAGATGTCTTAGATCCTTGTATTGCCAGGAAGGGTTAAGTTTATTAAGGATTTAGTCATCATGCAACGTGGCTGTTATTGTGTACAACGTTTTCTTGGTTCTGCTCACTTCACTCAGCATCAGACCATATAAGTCTTTCCAGGTTTTTCTGAAGTCAATCTGTTCATCATTTCTTATAGCACAATAGTATTCCATCACATTCATACACCACAACTTGCTCAGCCATTCCCTAATTGATGGGCATCCTCTCAATTTCCAATTCTTTGCCACCACAAAAAGAGCTGCTATGAAAATTTTTGTACATGTAGGTCCTTTTCCGATTTGCGTGATCTCTTTGGGATATAGCCCTGGAAGTGCTATTGCTGGGTCAAAGGGTATGCACATTTTTATAGCCCTTTTCACCTGTTTTTGTTGATTTTTATTATATTTATAAAGGAACATTTAAAGCTGTGAAAATGAATGGCATATGTGGTTATGCTGTATATGTATGATGGTGTATTTTCTTGAAGCGGTGCATATTTTGTTTTTGGTGCTCTGAAGTTTGGAAATCAATTTAATTTTTGCTAGGAATGAAACACAATGTTAAGAGATAAAAGGTTGGAGATTATTTAGTCCAAATTGAAGCCCAGATGGTAAAGTAACTTGTTTGCAAGTAAGTGGCATAGCCAGAACCTAAACTCAGTTATTTTGACTCCGAGTCCAGTTCTTTACTGGTTAAAATAAACTAACCATAGAATTTATGAGTTTGGCTATTATTTTATGAAATTAAAAAAAATCATTAGTGCTCTCAGACAAGTGTAGAATGAAAAACAATTAGCTTGTCCACAGATCTAGAATCAGGTTTTAGTTTCAATACTTAAGACATGTGTAATCTTGGGCAATTCATTTAAATGTTTAAGTGACTGTTTTCTCATCTGTAAAATGGGGATGTTCACTTGGATGAACTTTAATAGTTTTTCTAGCTCTAACACATTGTGATTCACAAAGTTCTGAATTGTACGTGGAATTGAGACCAAAGGTTCATTTCTGCTTTAAATACTTAATAACTGTGCAATCATGGACATGTCATTTAATCTCTCAGTCTGTTTCCTCATGTGTAAAATGTGTATGAAACTATCTGACCTTCCTATTTTACGGAATTCTTATGGAAAGAACAACAACAACAAAAAGCTATAGAAAAAGAAGGTATTATAAATCACTTTATAAATGTCAGTCATTATTGCTGCTGAATCAGTTCAATATAATTGACTTGCAACTTAAATCTTATGTTTCGTCTCCCCATTAGGACCGGGGGGGGGGGGTCCTGGAGGAGGGGGACTGTCTCGCTTTGCTTTTTGTATCTCCAGTACTTAGTGATGCTGTGTGGTCCAGTGGATAAAAACACTGTACTTGGTATTGGTAAGACTTAAATTCAAATTCTGCCTCAGACACCTATTGGCCGCGTGATGCTAAGCAAGTCACTCAGCCTCTGGCAGCCTCAGTTTGCTCATTTGTACCCTCGGTCCCGGCAACACGCCAGACTCCAAGACGCTGTGTTTTGAGTACAGAGGTACTGAATGGGTAGAAAAGACAAGACGCGGCAACTGATTGGATGTGCGGGGTTAGAGCCCGCCCCCGCCACCCCGCCTCCAACCAATGACCAGCCTCTTTGAAGGACGCCTGTCAAGGCCTCCTCCCGGTCTCCTGCCCTGCGTGGCGTGATGTTGTCCGCTTGGGGGGCGGGGAGGGGGGGGGGAGGCTAAAACTTCCTGTCCCGCGCTCGAACAGCTTCCGGCGGGAGGCGGAAGCCCCGCTTCTGGGCAGAGTCAGGGAGCTGGGACTGCTGGCCGCCCAGGACGAGAAGGTGAGAGCGAGGATTGTGTGCGTACGGTCCGGGTCGGCGCCGGGTGACGGCCGCGCGGCGGAGCCCATCCCGAGCGGAGGCGGGCGGCGCAGCGCCGGGTGTCTGAAGAGAAAGTGGGAGGGGAGAGGAAAGCTGCCCCCCGGAGCCTCCTTTCCCGCGAGTCAGCCCCGCTCTGGGGGGGGCCTCTTGTCCGAGCCGCCGGGGTCGCAGTCTTAGGCCTCGGGCCTCTTCCTCCGGAGGGCCAGGGAGCGGTAGTGAGCCCCGAGCTGTCCAAGGTTTCTGGAGGGGTCTTTGGGGCGACGCTGGCTTTTCATCCCCGGGCGCACCCGGCCTCCCCGTCCCCGGGCTGAGCTTCTTGTCCGAAGGCCCTGGAAAAAATGGAGGCGGGTGGCCGTCCCCGCCTAGCAGAGGCGGTGTTCGGTCTGGACGTGTCACGCCAGGCTGCCCTCGTCCTCCCCGCCCTCCCTGGGGGTCCACTGAGGGGAGATCGTGTCGGAGGCCGGCCGGTCGACTGCAGCCGCTCATGGCAGTCATTCCGGGGACGGGAAAGAAGGGGCAAGGGTGGCTGCAGGCTTCACCTTCCTTCCTGCCTTGTGAACTTATCGCCCCCATTCATGTAATTTATTCGAACTCGGCAATCCCTTAGTGAGTTTTGTTCCACCTCCAACAAGAGAAATATGTGAGAGATGCTGTTATTTTTTGTTTTTTAAAGAAATTTCTCCTTAGATTCCAAAGCACTAAAAATTTGAGCTCATTTTATTAATTCCTTGTTCCAGAGCTGGAAGCTAATCTTGGACAGTTTTAAATTGAAAATACTTGAAGTTGAGTATTTTGTTCCTTATTTTTGATAGAGGTGGTTTCTCAAAATTCAAATGAATAATCCCCTTGGTGCATGGCCACAGCATTGGATTAGGACTCCAGCCCCAGCTGGGTGGACAGGTCACTTAGTCTTTCTGGGATTGTTTCCTCAACTGTAAAATGAGGGGCCGATGACTTTGAAGATCCCTTTCTGCTCTAAAGTTATGATCCTATAAGTATCTGTGTTGTGTTTAGCTATGTCATGAGTACAGAGAATAAAAGGTGATTTCTTTACTTTTAAAATAGGGGCATTTGTTTTGTGATTGAAAGAGACCACTCTAGTGCTCTTCTGTAGTGTAAAGGAAGGTCGATGTTCCCTGACTCGGGAGAGCTAGATTTTAGCCCTAGCTTGCCTCTAAATGGCTTGATGACATTTGGTAAGCAGGTGCTTAATCATTTTGTGTCTTAAATTTTCTTTTCTGTAAAAGATGGTGATTGATCCACCTCCCAGATTGGGTTATTCTAAATTTGTTGGACTAAATAGGATAGGTTGGACATTATGAGGGCCTTTCCAACTCTGAAATTCAGTGATTCTGACATGGTAGTGTCAAGTACTCCATAATTGTCAGTAGAACTTGTTGATTTTTTAAAGTACTACTCCATACAAAGATTCGGAAATTATCAGTTTGCTTTATGTGTCATGTTTCTTGCTTTTGAAAATGTTTTGTCTACAAAATGCACTACTATCAGTAGGATTTGTGTGTTAATGTGTTAAAATACTGTTGATATCAATTTCTGTGGCCCAACAGTATACAGAAAGGGCTGAAAGGAGCAAATATACAGACTGGACAGTGGTTAGAGAATAGTCCAAGTGGCCTCTTAAATCAGGGGGCAAGCTACTAGTATATCATTATCCAGATTTTATTTTATGTTAGTAATTTTAACAAAACACATTCCTATATTTTAATGTGACTATTAAGCAAACATTTAAAATTTATTCGTTATTTAGGAGATCATTGTTGACTTATTATTTTAATACCTACTATGTGCTTGGTAGGCATTGTGGATCCAAAATTGAAGTATTTCTTGTCTTCAGGAAACTTATATTCTCTTGGTGAGGTACAACATTTTCACACACAAGTAAATACAATGTATATACAAAATAAATATATAAATACAATGATTGGGGGAACACTAATAACTGGGGTAATTAGGAGAGGTTTCTTGAGGGAAGTGGCACTTGAACTGAGTTTTGAAGGGAGCAATGGGACCCAAAAGGTAGGGAGGAGGGAGACTATCCCAGGCAAGGGCTGCTGCCTATGTAAAGGCCCAGGGACAGGAGTATGTGCGCCTATATGTGGGGGTGAGCAAGTAGGCCTGTTTGGCTGAAACATAGACTGTAAGAGAGTAAGGTATCAACCTAGAAAGAAACTGGAGCTGGATAGTCAAGAGCTTTAATGGAAAAAGTGGAGCAAATACAAAAAATACAGAAAATACAAATGGCAGTGGACAGCCACTGAAGCCTTTTGAGCCAGAGGAATGAATGACTTGCTCTTTACATTAGACCTGTGCTTTAGGAATATCAACTTGGCAGCTATTTGGAAAATAGAGGAAAGAGATTAGATGGGAGAACATCAATTAAGAAGCCAAAATCATCCACAAATGTGATGATCACAGCTGAGACTGAGGTGATTGTGATGTAAGGGATGGGATGAGGGGAAATGAGAACAAGAGGTAAAAAGAATATTAGAGGATAAAATCAATGAGACCTAGCAACTGATTGGATATGGGGGAGGGGTGTGTGTGAGTAGAGTTGGAAAGCTAAGAATGACTTATATCTCGTAAACCTGGGTGATTGAAGAATGTGCTCTCAACAGAAACAAGGAAATTAAGTGAGGTGGGTTTAAAGGGAAAGATTCTGTTTTGAACATGTTGAGTTTGTGATGTCTGTTGACGTCTAATGTTTACAACTGGAGAAAGCAGAGACATGAAGGCTGCGTGTATAGATTTGGGAGTCATTGGTATAGGGAAAATATTTGAATCTTTGGAAGCTGTTGAGATTACAGAGAGTGTAAAGATAGAAAGGAAGAAGGCCCAGGACAGCCCACAGATGCATCCACATAAAAATAGTTGGACATGATCCTGCAAAGAGGACCCTAGAAAGATCTATTGGACAGGTAGGAAGAGAAACGTAACAACATTTTCACAGAAATGCAGGGAGACTCGTGCAGAATGTCAAAATGGTATGAAGATGTCAAGCAGGGATGATTACTGAGGGAAAAGCCTTTGAGTGTGTCAATAAGATGATTGGTAACTTTGGAGAGAGTTAGTAATTGGAGTTCCAGTTGAGTAATGAGGCCAGAGGCAAAATTATTTTGCAAGGGATTGAGAAATGAATGAGAGTAGAGGAAGTAGAGGCAATAAGTATAAACTGTTATTTTCTGGGAGTTTGAGTGTGAAAGGGACAGTAGCTTGAGGGAATGATAGTGAAGGATAGTCAGGTATTATCCCAGTTTTATAGATGGGGATATAGATATAAAGGTCACATAGCTAATAGGTAGTAGAATCTTAATCTAGATGTAGTGCTTTCTATGGCACAACCCTGCCTGTTGGACTCAGTTGTAACCTTGATTATTTGGATCATTTTAAGTAAAAAGTGTACTTATTTTATTTGATCTGGTTCTAATTTCATTTTTTATCAACTAATTGGATTCTGCAGTATTTTATACTTTATTTTTTGTTAGGTTTTATTCAGTATAACTTCAAAGGTTGATACATATTACCCTTTTTCCAAAGGTTACTGAGGTCCACATAGAAAAGTAATTTGTTCAGGTCACATGAATTAGTGGTAGTCAAGATTCTGGTTAAGAGAACTTAGACTTTTTGGCAAAGTACAACTCCTTTTTTCAATTTACTGTTACTTGATAATATTGATTAAAATGAACATGAATAGAATTATATTGTAGTTAAAGGATGCAAGTTATCAAACTTTAGTTACTGGCCTTTAGTTGAGACAACAGAAAAGAATTCTTTAGATGTTACTAATGAGAAAAACTGCTAGTTTCGTGTATTTGCTTTGCAACTATTATTGTCAGGACTGTTGTATTTGAGACTATTAAAGTTTGAGGCTTTTGTTCAGAGTTCGTTCATTGCAAAGTTTTGTAGAATCTGAAATTTTATTTTAGTGTCTAAATTTGATTGAATAACAGTAACAATATAAGGTTCTAGTGTGCTTAATGCTTTTTAAAAAAAATGTTACTCTGTAGATAATGGACCAAATCTTTTTTTTTTCTTTATAGGAGTGAAACCAAACTGAAATTTAAGAATATGCATAGCTATTGGGGCACTTTCAGCTGGTGCTTTGGTGTTATATCCCTAGCAGTATTGGTATAATTATTGACCCTTGACTGTGTTTCTATTGTCTTTATAGTTATTATGGCCTTTTTGGGTGGGTGTAAAGGTAGAAAGTAATACAGAATTGGGCCTTTAATGGTGGGAAAGAAGTTTATAGGTTACTACCATGTCAGCAAGCTATTAATAGCTGCTCTTGATGAACTAAGCAGTAGGAGAAAACCAGCTGTGTTTTAGGGATAGAAAGTAAGAAAGGACAGATAATGTTATATGATCAAAATCTCCTTATTATGAATCCCATCGTATATAAAATTGACTTATGTCTAGTTTAGGTTCATTAATAGGTGAATATTTTGTTATTTCCTAACTCCAACAATAAATTAAAAATATTCATTGTGGTGTTATTCATTGTATCAGACCGAAAGGGAGAGCATGGGGGGGGTTGGAATCCTGCTGACTAAGGGCAACTATGTTTGGTTGTGCCTGGCTCAGCAGATGGTTTTGGAGGAGTAGATGTCATAGTGGAAGGGCTGCCATATGGCCTTCAGTTATCTGATCAGCAGATGTAGGCCTTAATTTTTCTAAAAAGTATTCATAGATGTAGGGAAAACTAAATTAGGTTGACTTAAAAGATTTTAGGAAGTTAGGATTGAGTAATCCAATGAGTTTCTGTTTCTGCTGTTTCTATTCTTCTTGGAGATTCAATTCCACATTTATTAAGCACCTATTATATAGCAGAGATATAAAGACAAAAATGAAACAGTCTCTAACCTTGAGGGACTTAGGTTTTACTGAGCATGTTTAAGGATAAGTAAAATGCAAGATAATTTGAATGAGAGAATACTGACGACTTTGGGATCTGAAAAGGTATAAAACAAGAGTACCTATTTTGAATTCTTCTATCTTACACAGTATCAAATGCTAGCAGTTAGAATAAGACAGGAAAAAGAAATAGAGTGATCAGCAATAAAAATAAAGAGGTCAGAATATCATTATTTGCAGGTGATGTGATAGAAAACCCCACTGTCAACCAAAAATTAATTGAAAATGTATTCAATAAAGTTGTGGGCTTGAAGAGATATACTGTTATGTGTTGGATCTGTGGTCTCCATTGTTGTGGATATTCTTTGCAATAATGCGGATTACACCCATGCATGCCTTCTTTTCCTGTTTGACCATGAAAAAATACTTTCAGTAAAGGTTAAGAATTTTTAAAATCTCATTTATAATAACCATTAAATATTTGGGAATTTAGTTACTCATACACACAGTATCTCAAAAGTCAGTGCCTTTTAAGCCTTATTAACCTTAAAACTCCAATTAATAATAATAAAGATAATAATAATAGTTATTATTATCGTTAATTTGAAAAATCCAATTTTTTTTTACTTCATTAATTTGACCCATCAATGAACACAGAAACGGAGACTTTTGGGACATCCTGTAGTGTATGTGACTTTGAACAGGACACAACTTGTAAAACTGAAATGAAAAATAAATGAAGAAAAATAATTAAGGGGACATTCTGGCTGGCAAAATTAATTAAGTAAAAATGATGATATTTCTAACATTAGTTTGAGTATTTAAGGTAATATCAAGCAAAATAGCAATGATTTCTTCATAGAATTGGATAAAATACTTGACACAATTTACACATTGAAAATGTGTAAGGGGTCCATGGAAGAGGTGCAAAAAGCTGGTGAATATAGACTTGTACTTCTAAAATTAAAGGATTGATTAACTATATTGTACATTATCATAATGAGAAGCTATAATGCAACTAAGATGGGTAAGTTTGAAGAATATAAAGTTAGGAAGACCTTATGAAATCATGCAAAGGCAAAAAAATAGTACTAGAACAGAATATACATTGTGACCATACAAATGGAGGAGTAAAAAGGAATATAGAAAAAGAAAGCTGATGGGAACTTAAAGGGAATAACTGGCAACTTAGAAATATTTATATATTGTTAATTTAAATGTAAATCCTTTTTTTAAAAAAAGTTTATCATGGTTTCATTGAATGACATTGACAGTAATTTAAAAAATCACTACCCAATGGACCTGGTTTATAGATGCTGATTGTTCTTTATGTTATTAAAAGAACTAAATTTGTTAACTTTTAGGATACAATATGGCTCTTCTTTCCCAATGTTCCAGTTTTCACTACGTGAAGACAGTAGAAGTGTGTCCTAGAAGCCCAAAAATCAGTTTCCATTAAAATCTAATGAACAGAAGAGGTAGGAAGGGCTTATTAAGTGTCTTTTAGCCCATTTCCTGATTTCTTCTAGGTTTGGGAATTATTTTCTTGACTTTTTTTTTTAGAAGGGCTGATAATAGGAAGTAGGCATGCAGACCTGCTTAAAAACCTGGAAACTCAAAATTAACTCTAGAAAAGCATAACTCCCTATTGCTGCCAAGTAGGAACATGTCCAGCTGTACTGGTAGAACCACTCAGTGGTCTTAGGAGCATACTTTATTTTAGCGTTAGCTGATGGCAAAAGCAACCAGGCAGAATGCCAGGTAAAACACAGGGTAGGAAGTAAGTACAAGGAGAAAGAGGTCAAGGTAAGATAGAAGAAGCAACTGAAAGGTATGTTGCCAAGCTGGATTTTTATTTCTATGGATAAATTTTTGTTACATGATAATTACATGCAAGGGTAGATAGAGATGGGGGAAGAATGTGAAAAAGAGTGAGAGTAGGGGCAGCTAGGTGGTGAAGTGTGTAGACTACCTGCCTTGGAATCAGGAGGACCTGAGTTCAAAACTGGCCTCAGACCAAACACTTGACACTAGCTGTGTGACCCTAGGCAAGTCACTTAACCCCGATTGCCTTAAAAAAAAAAAAAAGAAAAAATACTTGGGAAAAAAAAAGAGTGAGAGTGTTGTGAAAGGCAAACTCAGGGAATTGTGGTTAATTTTGTGACAAAAAATTAAGAGTGTGTTTTCATACACATTTTGTAAATTATTATTTCTACAGGGTGAAAAATAAGGATTTCAGTCAAACAAGTGTTGAGTAGTTCTTGGATTTATATACACTGAATATTTTGCTGTTTGGCTAATTTTTTTTCATCCTGTTAGTAATAGTCATTCAAACCAGTATAGATTCACAAGCCCAGTCTTTGAAAGAATTTAGCCTGTTAAGAAAGTAAGAATTTAAATATAAATTGGAGATACCACTCATAACACTGGTACTGTACTCCTTCAGGTGATCAGTGTTCACTGATATGCCCTCATTATCATGACAGGGGATGATTTTTTTTTTTTAGGCAGTTGGGGTTAAGTGACTTGCCCAGGGTCACACAGCTAGTAAGTGTCAAGTGTTTGGTCTGAGGCTGCATTTGAACTCAGGTCCTCCTGACTTCAGGGCTGGTGCTTTATCCACTGCACCACCTAGCTGCCCCCAGGGCTTGATTGTTTCAAAAACTTGTTTGCATTGTTGATTTGGTTGAAAGCTTGTGATTTTGAGTTTTTGTTATTTACCAGGAATTCTGAGCTTCTTATGTTTTTCTTTTCTGTTTTAGGTTAAATTGATTAACTGCCCGGAACAGCTTAGCTCAGAGAAGATCAGTATGCTCTGGTGGGAAATATGAGAATAACAGGAGTTGGTCGTTGACTTTGAGTTGAGCTTTGTAACTCCTTTTAGCGGTTACAGTATTTGGAAGCTGAATCAATGTTATCGGATGAGCTAGAGTCCAAACCAGAGGTGAGCATAATCAGCTGGGTTTATCTTCCTTCCATGGGCCATGGCCTACAATTAATCAATCCTCAGTTTCTTGTTTTTTTGTTTGAAGAGGATTTCTTTAGGAATTCTGAATTAGTGCTCTATCCTGTCTCCTTCTCAAAGTGTGTTTATATTTGTATAAACTGGAAATTATTGTAGGTAATTTACAGTGAAAAAATTTACATTGTTGAGACATAATCATGTTGCCGAAGTATACCATATCCTTTTTTTATGTATTCCAGAAATTTCAGATACTGCAGAAATGTACCACTGTTGTTTGTTTTTTATTGATGAGTATAGACCTATTGTTGCTATTCCTGTTTGGGAATCATGGAATCTCAGATTTGAGAGAGGCCACCATTCCTTCCAACCCATACTTAATAAGAATCCTTTCCTTTTTTTTTTAAATTTAGTATTTTATTTTTCCCCAGTTACATGTAAAAACAATTTTTACATTTGTTTTTAAAACTGAGTTTCAAATCACCCCCGCCCCATTGAGATGGCAAGCAATTCGATGTAGGTTATACATGCATAGGCATGCAAAACATATAAATAATAGTCATGTTGTGAAAGAAAACAGACAAAAACAAACTGAAGAAAAATAAAAAGTATGCTTCAGTCTGTATTCAGGCACCATCAATTCTTTTTCTGGGGATGGATAGCATTTTTCATTGTAAGTCTCTCATCGCTAAGTCATTCATAGCTGATCATTTTATAACATTGTTATTACTTTGTATATAGTACATTTCACTTTACATCAGCTCATGCAAGTCTTCCCAGGTTTTTCTGAGAGCATCCTGCTCGTCATTTCTTGTAGTACAGTAGTATTCCATCATAATCACAGACCACCATTAGTTCAGCCATTCCCCAATTGATGGGCATCCCCTCAGTTTCTAATTCTTTACCCCCAGAAAAGAGCTGCTATAAATATTTTTGTACATATAGGTCCTTTTCCTTTTTTTTTTTTAAATCTCTTTTGGGATATAGACCTTGAAGGGGTATTGCTCCATCAAAGGGTATGCATTGGTTTTATGGCCCTTTGGGCATAGTTCTAAATTGCTCTACAGAATGGGTGAATCAGTTCACAACTCCACCAACAGTGCATTAATATCTCTAGTTTTCCCACATCCCCTTCAACGTTTGTCATTTACCTTTTCTGTCCTATTAAACAATCTAATAGGTGTGAGGTAGTACCTCAGAATTGTTTCAGTTTGCATTTCTTCATTCAGTAGTGAGTTAGAATATTTTTTCATATAGCTATAGTTTTGATTACTGCATCTGAAAACTGATTATATCTTTTGATCATTTATCAATTGGGGAATGAATCTTATTTTTATAAATTTGACTTGGTTCTCTATATGTTTGAGAAATGAGGTCTTTATCAGAAAAATTTGCTTCAAAATTTTTTTTACAGTTGCTATTGCTCACTGTATTTCCTCTCTCCTATTCCCCCACCCCCATTTATTCTTATTCTCTCTCTCCTTTCACACTGCCCTTCCTCAAAAGTGTTTTACTTCTGACTATTCCTTCCCCTAATGTGCCCTACCTTCTATCACATACACCCCTTTTCTTATCCCCTTCCCCTCCTTTTCTATAGGGTAGATGGATTTCTATGCCCAATTGAGTGTGTATGTCATTTTGTCTTTGAGCCAATTCTGATGAGAGTAAGGTTCACTCACTTCACCTCCCTTCCTCCCTCCTCCCTTCCACTATAATTTGGAGGAGTTTGAGGGAGAGTTTAGGCAAGTCCCTGCTTTTACTCTGCCATGTTGGCTATACCCCAATAAAAATCTTTTCTACAACATACCAGTTTTTCCTTGCAGACTGCAAATAAGGGGATAACCATTACCTCCTGGGGCAGCTCATTGCACTTTTTTTTTGGTAAAATTTTCTGTGGTCCCTTCTAAGTTTTCTTTTCTCTGCTGTATACTTTTTATTTTTATCTCCCCACCTGACCCTAGAGAAGGCTACAATTACCTGCGTGCGAGCATGCATGCACACACACACACACAAACACAGAGCCATGCTATACATACTTCTTTTAATCAGTTCTTTCTCTATAGTGCATGGCACCTTCATCAGTCCTTTATAGTTGGTTTGAGTGTTTGTGATATTCAAGATGAATTAATTATTCAAGTTGTTCTTAGAACACTATTTCTGTTACTGTGTACGTTGTTCTCTTGATACTGCTCATTTCACTTTTCATTATTTTATGTAAGTCTTTGCATGTTTTTCGAAAATCAGCCAGCTCATCATTTTTTATAGCAGAGCAGTATTTCATTACAATTATATGCCACAACTTGTTTAGCCATTCTCCAATTGAAGAGCATCTGTCATTTTAGCCAGTTTGATAAGTGTAAGATATCTTAAAGTTGTTTTAATTTGCATTTCTCTAATAATGATTTAGAATATTTTTTCACGTGACTATATAGTTTTGATTATAATCTTTATTAGTTTCTTTGGAATTCTTGACCTTTTATTCTTCCAGATGTCTGCATTGAAAAACTGCCTATTCATATCCTTTGACCATTTATTAGTCTGACTCATATTCTTGCAAATTTGACAAAGTTCTTTATATATTTGAGAAATGAGATCTTTATCTGAGATACTATCTATGAAAATTTTTACTAATTTTCTGTTTCCTTCTAATGTTGGCTCCACTGGTTTTATTTGTACAAAGCTTTTTTAATTTAATGTAATTGAATTTATACCTCACAATGCATTCTGTCTCTTATTTATACATAACTTGTTCCGTAACAGGTGTCCATTTGCAGCACCCCTTCATTTAAATGCCATCTCTCTCTTATTCCCCTTCTAGCTGCTGGTCCAGTTTGTTCAGAACACGTCCATACCATTGGGACAGGGTCTGGTGGAACCTGAACCTAAAGATATCACTTGTCTGTCCCTGCTGCCTGTTACTGAGACCTCAGAATGCAGCCGGCTCGTATTACCAGGTAAATTTACAATCAGAATGGATGAACAAAATGGCAATAGGATGACAGAATCAATCAATCTATAAGCATGTTTTAAGCACTTATTGTATATGCCTAGTGCTGTGCTGAGGGCTGGGCATTGGATGGGCTTAAACTGTTCCAGAGTGCTCATGAACTGAATGGGTATAGTGAGAAAGCCTGTCTCTGTGGTAAATGATGGTTGGATATGGAAAAATGAAGAAAGATGAAGAAGTCATTTTGGACCTTTTATGGCTGGACTTGATATTTAGATCTTGTGTTGCCTTGGTACCTAACACTTTGATCATGGTCTTTTTGGTGTAGTCTTACCCAACAGTACAGAAGCATACCTTATTCTTTTTGCCCATGAAGAAGAAATCTGTAGCATTAGATGCGTGCCGTGTGGTGCAGAATCTACCTGGGAGCGCTCCAGGCTTTTTCTAGAAACCATCTCACTTGCTGGAGGAGGCAGATACATGGACTTGGGAGAGAAGCATTTGGTAACTCTAGTCTGCTTCATGTTTGACACAGGAAGTACCTAGCCAGATGGTGCCCACCTCCTTGGAATCATAGAATGTTAGAGCTGTAAGAGTCCTCAGAACATGTACTCAAAAAGGCTGGGAACATTAAAAACAGTAAAAAAATTACATGATAGTAGTTGTACCATTACTATTTGTTGACTGAGAAAATACATTACAAAAAAAGATAGTATGAATTCAGTAAAGCTTTTAAATGAATTTATAGTTAATTAATCATATCTGCATACTTTAAAAATTAGCAGTATATATGGAGACATGTATGGAGTCTATAGAAGACGTTTGCTTACTTATTATACTGAGTCAAGCATTATTAAGCACCTGCTATATGTTAGGATCTGAGCTTAAGCACTAAGGATAACAAAGAAAGGCAAAAACAATCCCTACTGTCAGGGAGCTCGCATTTTAATGGAGGTGACAACACTCAAATGACTCTACATACCAGATAAACTCTAAAATGCTATGTAAATGTCAGTTATTGTTGACTGACCTCTGTGGTTTGGACCGTTGGAGAGGGCACTGATTAAATGTATCTATTACATAGAGCTGAGAGGAATAGCTGAATATGTTGACACAGTGAAGATTCAGAGAGAACTCTACAAGCTAAATTAATCAGCTCAGACTAAGTGGATGAAATAGTAATAAGAAGTAAATGTTAATTCTTATACTTTGTGGCTTAGTAGCAGGTGTATTAGGGGACTTTAGTATAAATAATTCATAAAATGAGATAATATTTATAAAGTAATTTGTAACCCTTAAAGCACTATACAAATACTATCTTTTGTTGATTTTATGTTAAATGAACAATGTGAGGTGTGACTGTCAAACTTAGGCCTGTGTGACTACATTTAGAACAAGGGAAGTAATAATTTTCATTATATTCTGAATTGGTCAGATCACACTTAAGGTATTATATTTAGTCTGGGCACCACATTTTAAGAGAGACATTGACAAACTGGAGGTTAGAGGGTGACCAGGAAGGTAAAGGTCAGGAATCCATGTCATGTGATTAATAGTTGAAGGATTTGTGATATTTTAGTGTGGAAAAGGCTTCTGATAGCTGTCTTCAGATAACTGAAGACTGCATTGTAAAGTATGGATTAGATTTATTCTTTGTAGCTTTAGGACCAGTGAGTAACAGCTTCAAGGAAAACAAATTCAGCCTAATATAAAAAATTTGCAGATATGGAAGGGAAATACTGATGATAAACTCCAAGTCAGTGCATGTTTTTACACAGAGACTAGATAACTGTTAAGAGGTGTCATGGAGGAAGGTTCCTCTATTATTTGGGAAGGCTGATCTTTTAAGGCCCAGCTTAACTGAGTCTATGAACTGCTATAAATGTTAAATCTTGCCAGGTTCATAATAAAAGCTATTGACTACTACATATTTGTTATTTTATATAGAAGACCTGTGTGTACTACTGTTTTCCAGTGGTGCTACTTTTCCTCTTAATTTGGAAGTGATTTGAAAGAATACAAGAAAGGGGATAAAATTCTGTTGGGATTTTAACAGGGAGGTGAATATGTAGAACCAATGCTAGAAAAAGCTTCCCTGTTTGGCCCCTTTGAGAGGCAGCTAGTGGCACAATGGATAGAGTGGTGGGCCTGGAATCAGGAAGACCGGGATTAAAATCTGGCCTCAGACACTTACCAGTAGTGTGACGGGGGGATGTCATTTAACCCCTGCCTCAATTTCCTCAACTATTGATAGTAATAGCACCTTTGTCACAGGGTGGTCATGAGGATCAAGCATAAGAACACTTTGTAAAAGAACACTTCACACAGTGCTTAGCACATACCTGATAAGAGCGTCTTCCTGTCCCTCCTCCTCTCCCTCCTCCTGTCTGTCTCCCTCTTGTTTTGATTCTTATAAGCACTCAATTTTCTCTTAGAAGAAGAAAAAGTTCTTTCCAGCATTTAATAAAGATAAACCCCGAGGACTTTATTTTCAGTGACAGGTGGCTGTTGTGGAAGTCCATTTCCTGCCACCAAAAAGATGCCCCAAGAGCAGTGGCTTCTATAGCTTTTATTTACTTGTATAGGTTTAGTGTGAATTCAGGCTTTAACAGGTAGATTAATTTCATAAACTTCCATTTATTTCCTAAGCTACCGCTGCCCTTTCTGGCTGCCATCTAGTAAAAGTTTATTACCTGCCTTTCAAAAACCTGGTTGAGATTTTTTGTGGGGGATCAAACTTTTTTATGAAATGGCTTGTTGATGAGTTGAAGGTCATTGCACTGAATGTATGGGGGAGGGGACAAAAAACACTGTTTAATTTGGTACTTTAATTGACTGTATTCTGTAATAATCACATGTTCTGTCATAGTTAAGGATTCTGTAGGTGCCATTCAGTCTACTCATTCTGCCAGCTCTTCACAGTTTGGAGCATCTTGCTTTTCCTTTCTGGGTCAGTTTTCTCATTTTGTGTCATAGAGGTGATTCCTGTTCTTGGCCTATTCCAGAGGAACAATTAGAGGGTATTAGATAAGAATTAAGTATATTTCCTGAGCTCCTTGGAAATAGATTCTATATAAAGTGGTAGTATTTTCTCTTTACTAGATGATACTCCAAATCCTTCCAACTCCTGTAAGGAGGTCCCTTCCTCTGCTGTGTTGAGAAGCCTTCAAGTGAACCTGGGCCCTGAAGGAGAGGAAACAAGGGCACACACTGTACAGAAGTCCCCTGAGCTTTTGTCAACTCCGGAGTCTCCTAGCTTGTTGCAAGACCTTCAACCAAGTGATAGTACTTCTTTTATCCTTCTTAATCTAACAAGAGCAGGTATCCTTTACTCTGTCCTAGACTGCTTCTAAGATAAACAAAAGATTTTGTGGATTATGAATGTGTCACATGCCACAGTGAAAGAAAACTTATTTCTTACTTTGTATCTGAGAAAGTATAGTCTGGCTTATGGCCTGTTGACTGAGCTTTTAGTCTTAGCCTTAGCACTGATTTTCATGTGGTTTTGGTCAAATGGTTAATAACTGTTTAAATAAAAATGAGAGAGAATTCAAGAGATTATCTTAGCCTATACACTACTTCTAGGCAAAGCTTCATGTAAATCACCCTAAACCTACAGAAAAATTCTGCATTCTTCCTTAGCAAGGAGTCCAATGGTTATGTCCTTTGTTAAAAATGCATCTGAAACACTCAAGTTTTTTAAAGGCAGGATATTCTTATTACCTGAATAAGAGAATTTACCTTGATATAAAAAAGAGAAGTTTGTGTTTGACCTCACTGTGCTTCTAATATTTTTGTCTTTTCTAGGCCTGGGCTCCTCAGCTGAACACTTAGTATTTGTCCAGGATGAAGCAGAGGACTCTGGGAATGACTTTCTCTCCAGTGATAGCGCTGACAGCAGCATGCCATGGTTCATCCGGGTTCAGGAGTTGGCCCATGACAGTCTGATTGCTGCTACTCGTGCACAGCTGGCAAAGAGTGCCAAAGCCAGTAGCAATGGTGAGAATTTTTTGTTTCCTGCTCCAATATACTACATACAGAGGTTTTGACTTTGTTGTGCTTTGTTAATATTAATGAACCTATAAACCAAATTTGTCAGAGTAGATGGTTTGGGGAGGAGTGAGTGAGTGAGTGTGTGAGTGTGTGTGAGTGTGTGTGTGTGTGTGTGTGTGTGTGTGTGTGAATGTTTCTTTTTTTTTTTTAGATCCTCTCTTCTACAAGTACCTTAATCATTATAGGCGTATTTGCAAAGTCAAATAAATGTTTTCTCTAAAGCGAATTCCAGATTTTGAAGCCATTGATAGTAAAAAGTGATATAGTTCTACCTATTAGGAACTATATATAAGAACAATTTGTGGGTTCAGACTCTTATTAAGATAGTTGTTAATGGAAAGACTTGGTGGTTATGTATTTCTGTGAAGAAGAAATGCCACATTTATCCTGAAAAAAGAGTTTTTTTCTAACCAAAGAAACTAACTCTACATGAAAAAAAGGAATGAGAAGAGTTGAATTCCCATTAGTTTTGACCTCCATTGTTTTCATTTTTTCTTTTTTATTTAATTTTGGCCAGTGATTTCATTGCAGCTACAAAATTAAATATCTAAAGGCCCTACTGTCACCTTCTACATTATTGTTATTAGTTGTACTCTGTAGAAAATTGCATGGGTTTTGCAGTGATCCTGAAGCATTTTGATACAGGGTAGTATTTTGTGAATAAAGAATGTGGGCTAAAGTGAGAATAATAGTTGTCAGCAATCAGATTAAGACTATATACTTTTCCAGAATGGGAAATGACAGAAGCATTACAACCTTTTGAGGGTAGATGAGAAGATGAGGTAATTGGTAGCATGAGACGTGAATGTAGCAGTTAATCTGTTTCCACAGCTGTTTTGAATTAGGTAAGACCATGAAAGTATCTAGTCCAAACTCCTACCTAAAATGAGAGTCATATCTATAGCATTTCTCATAGTGGTCAGTGGTGGGAGGTGGTTGCAGCCGTGGCAGCAAAAGCTTCAGGAGTTCTCAGTCCAGAGACAGTAAGGGGGCCAGAAAATTGATCAGAAAGAGATTATAGGTGACCCTGAGCTGACATTGGGAACAGGACTCTGTTGCATTGCCCATACATAGTTCTGAGTCACAGTTGCAGGGTGGAGAAGAGCACTTGTGGTCCATTACAAGGGAGTAGTGTCCCTGGTTGCAATTCCAAGGCAGAGAAGAGCAGTAGTGCTTGAAGCTGCAGGAGAGCAGGGGACCTGGTGACAATTCCAAAGCCAGGAGAAGTGCTAGCACTTGCAGTTGAGGGGGAGCAAGGGCCCTCCCTGGATAAACACCAGAGGGTAGACCAGGAGTGTGGGGACCATACCTCTCCCCATGTCATGCCGCCTTTGAAGCACTGAAAACTTAAAAAAAAAAACCCTCAGAACTAGCTCTAAAAACAGCAGCCCAAAAAAGCCTGAAGCTTGGTACATTGCCTTCCTACTCCCAGGTGAACGGAGCCCAACTTTACAGAAAGTTCAAAGTCAAGAAAAGGCTGGGAAAATGAGCAAACACCAAAAAAAGAATTTGACTGTAAAAAAGCTACTATGATGATAGGGAAGACCGAGACATAAACTCGGAAGAAGACAACGTGAAACAGGTATAACCAAAGCCTTAAAGGAAAAAGATGTTAATTGGACACAGACCCAACAAGAATTCTTGGAAGATTTAAAGAAAAAGATAAGGATGGTAGAGGAAAAATTGGAAAGAGAGTGATGCAAGAAAATTATGAAAAGAGAATTAACCCTTGGTAAAAAGGGGCACAAAAAAATGCTGAAGAAAATGACATGTTACCTTAAAAAATAGAATTATCCTAATGGTAAAAGGCACAAAAATTACCTGATGAAAAAAATTCCTTAAAAAGCAGAATAGGCCAGATGGAAAAGGAGGTACAAAAATTCACTGAAGAAAAGAACCCCTTAGTAGAACTGGCCAAGTGGAAAAAGAGGTATTAAAAACATGGTCTTATTTGTGGTGTAACTTATGTAAGAAGATAATTCCATAAAAATTAGATTTGGATAAGTGTAAGCTAATGACTCCTTGAGATATCAAGACAAAGTCAAAAGAATGAAAAAAAGGAAAATGCAAAATATCTTACTGGAAAAACAACTGACTTGGAAAATAGATCAAGGGGAGATAATTTTTAAAAATTAATTTAATTTTATTTTGTTAAATATTTCCCAAGTGCATGTAAATTTTTGGGGGGGGGGGGGGAAATCAGGGTTAAGTGACTTGCCCAGGGTCACACAGCTAGTGAGTGTCATGTGTCTGAGGTCACATTTGAACTCAGGTAGTCCTGACTCAAGGGCCGGTGCTCTATCCAATGTGCCACCTAGCTGCTCCTAAAAATAATTTTTAAATCATTTTTTAAAAGTTTTGAGTTCCAAATTCTCCCCCTCCCTCCCAACTCATCCCCTGCCTGGAGAAGGCAAGCAATTTTGATGTTGATGATACATGCAAGGTCAGGCAAAACATTTCCGTATTAGCCATGTTGCCAAAGAAAACTCCAGCAAAATAAAACAACAAAAATAAAGGAAATAAAAAGGTATGCTTCAGTCTGCATTTAGAGTTTATAAGTTTTCTCTCTCTCAGGAAGTAGATGGCATTTTTCTTCCTGGGTCCTTCTGAATTGTCTTGCGTTATTGTCTAGATCAGAGTAGCTAATTTTCTCACAGTTGATCATTTCATCATTATTTAGGGCAGTTAAAAGGAGTATGTAGGCAGAAGGAACAGGTGTGAAGTGATTATTTTGGGATGATCTCAAAAAAAATTAAGGGGTGAGAAAGGGGAATGTACTGGGAGAAAGGGAAAGGGAGAAGAAGAATGGGGAAAATTCAAACAACTCTGAGGGACCACCTCACACCTATCAGAAATGACAAATGCTGGAGGGGTTGTGGGAAAATAAGTGTATTAACGAACTGTTGATGGAGTTGTGAACTGGTCCAACCATTCTAGAGAACAATTTGGAATTATGCCCAAAGGAGACTATAGTGTATATACCCTTTGATCCAGCAATACCACTACTAGATCTGTATCCCAAAGAGATCAAAGAAAAAAGAAAGGACCTATATGTACAAAAATATTACTAGCAACTCTTTTTGTGGTGCCAAAGGATTGGAAATTGAAGGGATGCCCATCAGTTGGGGAATGGCTGAACTAATGGTGGTATATGATTGTGATGTAATACCCCTGTGCCATCAGAAAAACCTAAGAACACTTATATGAACAACAGAACCAGGAGATCATCGTGCATAGTAACAGTTATATCGTAGTGGTGATCAAATGTGAAAGACTTAGCTGCGCTGATCAATACAATGATCTAAGACAATTTTGAAGAACTCATGATAAAAAATGCTGTCCACTTTCACAGAGAGAACTGATGAACTCAGTGGAAATTGGAGTATGATTTTTTCACTTTCTTTTTTTTTAATGTGACATGGCTAATACAGAAATAGGTTTTGTATTATTTCACATGTGTAATTGATATCATATTGCCTGTCTTCTCTGGATAGGGGAGGAACTGGAGGGAGGGAGAGAATTGGAACTCAAAATTTAAAAAAAAAACCAAAAACCTTCCATAAAGAAAAAAAGAATTTTTAGAAAAAAATAGGTCATTTCATTGTAGTCTCTCCTTGAGTGCTACCATTAGCTAGGAGTTCACTTTCCCATAAAGCAACTCTTTACATTAAAAAAGAATAGTTCTAATTATTAGAAAACTATTCTTTTATTTTGAACTGAAATTCACCTCCCTATAACTTCTGCTTTTTAGTCCTTGAGCTCCTCCCAAGTCTTCTTTAAGGTTACTTTCTCCTAGTTCCTCAGCTGGACCCATCACTATCCTGGTTACCTTTCTCTAGATGTGTTCCAGTTTGTTAGTGTTCCCCTTAAAATTTGGGACCTAAAACTGAACATAGTACTTTAGATGTTATTTCACTAATGTGAATTACAGTGGGATTATTATTGCTTCTTGTTTTTGGCTTTTGCTATTGAAAATTGTTGACTGCTTAAAAAAAAAAAAAAAAAAAGCCAGACTGCAATACCTTCTTTTCTTTACCTTTTTCACACACTTGTCTTGCCACTGAGTCTTTTCAGGATTCTAGAGACTTTTAAACATGGTCAGATTATGCATAATCAGTTTTATGTCATGAGCAAACATAGGTATTGAGCCTGTGAAAGAAAGCTGACTGTATAGTAGTCTACTTTGTACTACTAGTTTATAGTTGTCTTGGGAAAGAGGTGGAGAATGGTATTCTTATTTTCTGGTGTTGGATGGACATGTTGGGGGATAAAGATAGAGATGTGGTTTGAAGTGTTTCCTTGCTAATAGTATAAATTATATAGAGAGGAAGTATTTGAGGGGTATCAGCGATCAAAACATCTAAGAAAAGCCCTGTTATATTTATTTTTCTTCTCTGGTTCTGTCTTTCGTTTCCCTGTTGTAGGGGAAAATGTTCACCTTGGTCCAGGTGATGGGCAGTCTAAAGACTCTGGGTCCCTCCCCCACCTTCCTCAAGAGGAGAAAAGGCTCCAGTGCACAGTTGAGGGCTGTGATCGGACATTTGTGTGGCCAGCACATTTCAAGTACCACCTAAAAACCCATAGGTAAGTAAGTTTGAGATGATAGACGTGAGGCCAAGCAAACATAGATTTTGAGTGGACATGGTCAGCATATGTTACAAGCAAACATGGGAACTAGTTTCTTGTTGATCCCAAATTTATTTCGTTCTTCAGTGGAAAGGATTCCTCACTCTTCATGGTACATAAATTTTGGTTATGGAATTCAATGTATTCGAATTAGAGTATCTATTTCAAGCTGACTATGAAAGGCAAAGAGAACTGTAACTCAGTAACTGACAGAGAACAGTTTCCATTTCCTGATTCCTGCAGATAAACCCACTTGTTTCTTTCTAAATAGGAATGGAAGTCTTGGTCTTTTTTCTAGCCCTTTTCTCTGTGGATTGCACTAGGATAGAAGACTAAGTGGTGCAGTTCTTCTGTTACATTTTGAAAAGGGGAATGCTAGTTGGTTTGGCATTCACAATGATTGAGCACCCATTGAGAGTCCTCTCCATTAAAGGAGCCATAATGGTACCGAAGGTGCCTGACTTTCATTGTCGGGGAGCTTAGATGTCCGAGAGACTACAGACGCGTACATAAAGGTAACATAAGACATCAACCCCAGATGGATAATAGTACAGACCAAGTACTGAAGTGCTGGAGAACTTCCATTGGACTTCTCCAAGAGAAAAACTTCTTTGGGTGGTTATTGCTTTTTTTGATTATTTTTTGCAGGAATGACCGTTCTTTTATTTGCCCTGCTGAAGGCTGTGGGAAAAGCTTTTATGTGCTTCAGAGACTGAAAGTGCACATGAGAACTCACAATGGGGAGAAGCCCTTTGTGTGTCCTGAGCTGGGATGTGGCAAGCAGTTCACCACTGCTGGAAATCTGAAGAATCACCTTCGGATCCACACAGGTATGTGCACCAGCCCCTTAAGAGGCCCACAGGTCACCTCCTTCTGAGTGAGGCCTTTGAAATCTATGGATCCTCTTTCATTCAGGCAACAGAATATATTCAGGCAACAGTTCAGCAAATACTGAGCATATTCTGTGTGCAACGCCATGTGGCAGATACAAAGCAATGTTGTCATGATGTACTGGGAGCTGTTTGGGAAAAACTAACAGGCACTATTGGAGTCAAGCAACAGAATTCATTGAACAAGCTTGTCTTGAATGTGCAGAAATAGAAGACATTGGTCCTGCCCTTGGAATAATATATCCTTTGTTTTTTTTCCTCCAGTTCTTTATTCAGTTTTATTATTCTTTTCAATTCCAAGTTTTCTCCCTTCTTTCTCCCCCTCCCCCCTCCCACTCACTGAGGAAGCAAAACAAACAATGCCCATCACCATGTGTGAATGATCATGCAAATCAAATGTCTGCATTAGCTGTGTGAGAAATATCAACTTTAATGGGCTCCTCACAACATAAGGGCACAAGAAGAGAAATTGCATATAGGCATGGAAAGTATGGCCCAGAGAAGAGAAGAGATGGGGCCAAGTACAGGATAGCCAGAATCGGGTCAAAAGTTGACCTGCCCCTTCCAGGTGACATATCAGGCCATCTGGCCTAACATATCATCTTCTCACTGTACCTTGACCATAGGTACCGTCACCATCTTAGTGAGATTGCTTCTCTCTCCTTGGAGGTTGCTTTCATCTTTGGCTCTCCTTTTAGAGTCGCTGTTGCATCTGCTAAACTGGCAAAGAGAAAAGTTAGGGAGCATTTTAAAAACTGAATTGTGGCTAGTGTTGCCGCTACACTTGGTCTACCAGCCTCCATTTACTTCTCTTTTGGTTCAGCATGGAATTCAGAAAAGACAATTGCTATTTTCTGAGAGCAGTTCAGAATTACTTACCACCCTGGAAATAAGTTTCTTGAAGCAAAATATTTAGAAATTATATTCTCTATAAATATATTAAGTATTGGCATCTAATTATCAGCATTTCTTGATAAATTCAGTTATTGAGTAACTGTAATGTGCATAGCATTGTGCTTGGTATTGGAAGTTACAAGGCCTGGTCCTTAAGGAAAATATTTGGTATGGCTATATACAGTATTATCCTGGGTGTTTGTGGGGGTTATAGAGAAATGAGGTATTCTTGTATTTGAAGAATTCTGTTAACTAGCTTGGGGTATAAATCATATATATATTGAAAATTATAATATCAAGGTAGTTATGTACTAGTATACTTACTCCTTTCCCCTTATTCCCTAGTGTATTCTTCCTTCTACCCTCCCTTCTATTTCCCATCATCAGACCCTCAGAATAGAATCAATCCACACCTGGGATCTCTATTTTCTTTATTTAACTACGTTTGAAGACATTAAACTCCTGAAAGAACACTTGTTCTCCCCTTTAGAATGTTAGTATTACATCATCATACAGTTCCATTCATTTGGCACAGGGGTGGGGAACCTGTGGCCTTCTAGGTCCTCGAGTGCGGCCTTTTGACTGAGTCCAAGTTTTACAGAACAAATCCTTTTATTAAGTGGATTTGTTCTGTGAAGTTTGGATTCAGTCAAAGGGCCATACGAGGACTTTGAGAGTCACATGTGGCTGCTAGGCTGCAGGTTCCCCAGCCCGATGGCAAAATAAGTTTGCTTTTGTAAATTTTCCTAAATTCTTGTGCTTATATTTCAACATTCCTACTTAGATCAGGAATCCTTGAAAGTCCTCTATTCCATTAAAGGTCCGTTTTTACCCCCCATAGGATTATACTCAATTTTTGCAGGTTCGTTTATTCTCAGTTGTTAGCTTATCTCTTTTGCTTTTTAGAATATTGTGTTATAAATCTCTTCTCATTTTTAATAGTGCCTTCTAGGTCTTGTATGATCCTGACTGTAATCCCTTGGAATATGAACTGCTTTTTCTGGATGCTTACAGTATTTTTTCTTTGAAGTGGAAACTCTGGATTTTGCTCTTACATTACTGGGATTTTTCTTTTTGGGTTTACTTTCATGCGGTGATCAGTGGATTTTTTTTTTCTGTTTTTACTTTCCATCTTTACTTTGCCCTCTAGTTCAAATGGATCTGGGCAGTTTTTATTTATATTTTCTTTCTTTCAAATCATGACTTTTATCTCTTGATACACATTTCTTCTAGGAATTCAAGTCACTGGAAAACACATTTTTTTCTTTTGAGTTTCTTCTTACAGTTGTTATGGAATTAGATTTATAATAATTTTTGATACTGATTAGTTTTTTCTTTGATTTACTCATTTCTGCAGCTTTAGTTCTGTATTGAGGTTTTGTGTCATGCTTTGCCTCCTGCTAAATTTTTGGGTGAGGTGGTCATTCCTGGGTCTGCTCAATTCTTATATCAATCTCCATCTCCTGGGGCCCTGGAACTTCAAGGTTTAGAATGCTGACTCTTTAGGTCCCTTTCCGGTATTTCAGAACTGATAATTTGGGACCTCAGAGCTCCTGGAGCTAGACTGTCCCAGTCAGTGCTGTAGCACTGTGCTAGTCAGCACCACACTGGGCACAGGGTACTGCAGCTCCCTGGATCTTTCTAAGTTCCTACCTTGGGGCTTTCTCAGGGAAGCCCTTCTCTCTTGCTCCCTCTGGACACAGCTTTGTAGGCTCTATGTGTCCTATCTCAGGTCATATTGGCATTCACCATACTGGCAGGGTTCACCTTTCCTATTGTTTCCATACTTGTGGCTGATATCTTAGGTAGTTTTGGGGTAGAATAACTCAGTTATTTTCATTTCTAATTGGATTTTTTAGAAATCATTATTTGGTTCAGTGGGAACTTCATGATTTTGCTGGAGTACATGAGAAACCGGGTGCCCTGTTAGCCATTCAGGCCACCATCTTGGCAGGAAATGAGAGGCTTTTTTTTTTTTAATTGAGTCATGTTTTAATAGACAAATATCTTATCACAGATACTTTATTTGAACCTCTCAGCATTTATAAAGTCAAATGTGATATCATAGCTATTTGTGTACATGTATACTCTCCTCCTCATCACCTCTCCATAATGATGGAGCTATGTGTTTTTTATTTTTGCATCCTCTGGGCCTAACCCAGTCCCTCACACATTTTGTTTTGTTTTGTTTGGTCTGGATCTTTGATTTCATCAGTGTTTGCAATCAGTTCAAAATAGCAATTCTTCTCTTTTTTTCCTTCATCCTTTGAAAAATTAAATTATTGGTAAAGCAAGATAAGAATTTGTTTTGCTTTTGGTAGTGAGAGCTGCAGCTGATCTCCAGATAATTGAAGTCTCCTATTACTACTGTATCATGCATGCCAAGTTTGTGACATTTCCCAAATGCTTCATCTGTTTCCTTTTTTTGTCCTTGTGGTTTGTTGTATTTTTTCATGGAAATACTGCTTATGTTTCTTCCTCTTTTAATTTTCACCAGATGCTCTCCACCATCCATTTCCCTGCTCTCATTCATGGATTTGTTCACATCAGGATGTCTAATGTAGATTTGAATCATAAAATTTTAGAGGCCAACAGAATATTTCTCCTTAAAAATCTGGTGCTTTATCCGTGGCATGGAGGTGACTCTGGAATCACCGAGGCAGTGTCCATAGAGTGGCAGGTCTTATTACCAAACTAAAAAAATTTTAAGGCTAGACCTGCTGGCAGACTTCACATCTCATCGACAGGCAAGTCTGGCTAAGTTTGGAGAGGCTTACCACTAGAGGCTTGGCCACCAGTTCATCCTTTTTTTCTTTTCTTTTTTTTTCTTTTTCCCGCTATATCACCTGTTCAAGACAGTATGCTAAGTCATGAATGAGGTATGGAGCAGTCAAGGTTGGAATATATTCTGCATAGATGAGCATCTTTACTGATGAAATTGTATGTCCTTGAAGTCAATAATGGGATAGCTAGGGGGTGCAATGGTTAGAGCACCAGTCTTGAAGATCTTAGTTCAAATTGAGCCTCAGATAATAACTGTGATAATAATAATAGCTGTGTGACCCTGGGCAAGTCACTTTACCCCGACTTGCCTCAGTTCCTCATCTGTAAAACTGGGACAAACTGGAGAAGGAAATGGCAAACCACTTCAGTGTCTTTGCCAAGAAAACCCTGTGAACATTGTCCATGGTAGAGTTACTGAACAACAATGAAGTCAATAATAATAAATGATAATAATAACTGACATTTATAAAGTACATGTGAGTAAATTTCATCTTTACAACCCATTCTGAATTAGGTACTTTTAGCTTCATTTTGTAGATAAGAAAACTTAGGTTCAGAGAGTTTAAGTGACCATTGTCAGACAATAAATGTTAGAAATGGGATTCAGAGTCGTGCCTCACATCCAATTGCTTTATTAACACATGGTATTCAAAGCTGTTAACTGACATAGATATTTAGGGACAGAGCTGCTGACTTTCTGGAACTCTTTCCACAGTACTATAATGTTGCTTTTTTTTTCTACATATAGAGATCATGAAATGAATGCCATGGTGAACACTATAAGAATGAAAGTACAGAAAGAGAAGAGAATAAGGCTGAGGACAAAACCTAAGATGATAACAATAGTTAAAGGATGGATGAAGAGGAACTATCAAAAGAATCATAAAATGAGTGGTTATTTTAGGAAGAGAACCAGAGCAATGTAGAAGCACAGAAGTCAAGGAAAAAGAGAATTTGAAGGAGGTTTAGGGTTAGTGTTAGGGCCACACAAAAAGGTCGAAGATTATGGAGCTGAGGAAAAGGTAATTGGCTTCGCAACTGGAAAATCATTGGTGATATTTGAGAAAGTACCTTAAGTAGAGTGGAAGGTGTGGCAAAAAACTTGGCAAAGTTAAGATGAACTGGCTGAAAGTTTGTATGTGAAATAATGAATCCATCTTCAAGCAGTTACTAAGCACGTACTTATAGGTTAGGATGAAAAAAACGAAAAAATTAAATCTCTGCTCTGAGGGGACAAATAGGCATAGCTGACTTATTTAAAGAAATCTATTTGGCTTTGAAGGAAAGAGAAATAGAGTGTTAGCTTGAAGGGAGTGATATAACCAAAGTAGTTTTTAAAAATTATCTTAAAGATAGAGGAAACAGGTTTCTCTAAAGACATTGGAAATAACCTCGGAGAGTAGGAGAGATTAATAGATGCACGGAATAAAGGGAATGGCCATGGGTGGAGGTATTAGCTTTAGAGTAGGAGTTCTTAACCTGGGGTCCATGAACTAAAAGGCAACCAAACCGTGTATACCTTTTGATCCAGCAATACCATTATTAGGTCTGTATCCCAGAGAGATCATAAAGAAGGGAAAAGGACCTCTATGTGCAAAATATTCATAGCAGCCCATTTTGTGGTGGCAAAATATTGGAAATTGAAATGCCTATCAATTGGGAATGGCTGAACAAGCTATGGTATATGATTGTAATGGGATTCTCTTGTACAGTAAGAAATGATGAACAGACAGATTTCAGAAAAACTTGGAAAAAACTTGTAGAAACTGATGCAAAATGAAATGAGCAAAACCAGGAGAACATTGTATACAGTATAAGCAACATTGTTTGATGATCAACAATGAATGACTCAGCTCTTCTCAGCAACACAATGATCCGAGACAAGTACAAAGGACTCCAGAAAGAAAAAGCTATCCACATCTAGATAAAGAACTGATGGACTCTGAATGCAGATGAAAGCATACTTTTTTTAAAAATTTAAATTATTTATTTTTAGTTTTCAGCATTCACTTTTATAACATTTTGAGTTCTAAATTTTCCCCCTTCCTTCCCTTCCCCCTCCCTTCCCTTCCCCCTCCCAAAGACAGCATGCAGTTTGATATAGACTATACACGAACAGCCCTATTAAACAGTGTTTCCACATTAGTCATATTGTGAAAGAAGTATCAGAACAAAAAAGAAAATCCACGGGAAAGAAAAAAAAATAGTATGCTTCCATCTATATTCAGACTCCAGAGTTCTTTCTGTGGATGTGGATAGCATTTTCCATCATGTGTCTTTTGGAATTGGCTTAGATCATTGCATTGCTGAGAAGAGCTAAATCTGTTAAAGTTGGTCATTGCAGTGTTGCTCTTACTGTGTACAGTGTTCTTCTGATTCTGCTCACTTCACTCAGCATCAGTTCATGTGAGTCTTTCCAGGTTTATCTGAAATCTGTCTGTTCATCACTTCTTACGGAACAATAGTATTTCATCATATTCATATACCACAGCTTATTCAGGCATTCCCCAATTGATGAGCATCCCCTCAATTTCCAATATTTCGCCACCACAAAAAGGGCTGCTGTAAATATTATTGTACATGTGGGTTCTTCTTCCTTTTTTATGATCTCTTTGTGCTATATGCTGGATCAAAGGGTGTGCACAGTTTGCCCCCTATTTTAGGAAGAGGGGAAGGGAGGGAGAGAGAAAAATTTGAAACTCAAAAGTCTTATAAAAATGAGTGCTAAAAATTGTCTTGACATGTAATTGGGAAAAAAATACTGTTTAAAAAAATAAAATAACTACAAAAAAGTAAAAACAGAAAAATCCATACTTTTGAATTAGATAAGGAAGGTGGATAAGGGAGCTACTGGGAGATGTCATTTCTTAGAATTATGGGGTTAACACAAGTGAGGGCCCTGAAGAGAATGGAAGAAGTTTGCAAAAGTTACTTTAAGTAGCATAATAATGAATGTCCTAGAAGAAAATGCTGAAGTAGCTTTGAGGACTGAAACTAAGTAGCATGAAGGATTAAGACTGGAGCTAGTCACCTGGCAACACTGAATGGCTTAGGGAAAAGAAACATGTATAAATGGGGGTGTGTGTGTTCTTATGTTTAAATCTTTCTATTCCTTTCTCTAGGGGAGAAGCCATTCCTGTGTGAAGCTGAAGGCTGTGGCCGTTCATTTGCTGAGTATTCCAGCCTTCGGAAGCATCTCTTGGTTCACTCAGGTAGGATTGCCTTTTGTATTGCATGTAGCAGTACAAGAGCTCAAGAACAGGTGGAAAATCAAGAGTGGGAGGTTAAGAGGGAAATCGACCAGAAAAACAGCTACTTTAAATATGAATAAGTCTTTGGTCTTGTCATGATGAAGTAACCAAAGACTCCTTAAGATGTTTTGGATTTGTCAACCAAAATGAAACGTGTCTATAGGAAGTTTGGCTGAAATTGTTGGACCCGACCATTTGCTCCAGGCTGCTCAGTGGGAAGATTCACAGCATTAGTTGGCCTTTATTTGATCCGTGTATTATACAAATCCAGTTGGTGTGAGTCCTGCCCTCTAGGGGCTGATGTTCTCATTCTTCCAGTGTATGTACACAGGGATGCTTTCAGCTCACATGAATGCAGAGAGACCATATGATCAGCAGCAACAGCAAGGTTATTGCTTCCTGGTAAGGAGCACTATCATGTGCTGGCCTGTCAGTCACTATTCTCCATTACCACAGCATCTCGTGCCTCTCACAAATGGGTCTACAGGCCGTATTTCAGGAGGTATAAGATTATAAATGTGCTACTCAGCTGTCTTCCATAGGAGACAAGTCTAAAACCAATTTCATTGACCATAAAACAATGAACTATCATTTTTCTGGAGCGTAAGTTCCCTCTAACTCTATCAATTTGCTCCTTCCATGCAGATGATCTAGTCTTCCCTGCTAAAGACATCTTTCAGAATATATGGAAATTCTCTACAGCATACAGGCAAAAATGATGATTTTTTTCCCCCACCCCAGAAAAGATCTCCAAATAACTAAAAGTCAGGTACAACTCAGGGGAAAAAAGTTTTCTCTCTTAGAGGGAATAATTTTCCTATGGATATTGTAACTTCTTTCACCAGAGTTTCTTTACCAGTGAACTTATTTTATTTCATCCTTTTTCTCTGGGCCTTCATTTGTTGGTCTAGACTCTTGAGTCTCTCCTGCTGTCAAAAATGTACCTTCTTTCCTGGTCTCTATTTCAGGCATGAAGCCCCATCAGTGCCAAGTTTGTGGAAAAACCTTCTCTCAGAGTGGGAGCCGGAATGTGCACGTGAGGAAACATCACTCAAGGATGGGAGCAACAGGAAATCGAGAGCGAGAGCAAACAGGTGAGGGCAGTGGGTATGAAGGAGCAAAGTCATTAACATTTCAAAAACCAAGATACTTGTGTCTAATTGATCTTGTTTTTCTGATTCTCTTTTGGTCATAGCAGGCTGGTCTCATTTTTGGTGGTGTGACTGGAATCCACAAGGTTTTTACTAGAAGCAGCATTATTCCCACTGCTCGAATTTTACTCTGGGATTGGGCTCCTTTCTTTCCTCCTTTAAATTTGCTATTCCTTTTCATGACTTTTCTCTTCTGATCAGTTAATAACTAGGCAACTCCTCTTATCCTTCACATACTTACCACAAGCAGGTATATCCCTCTGTAGTAATCATTTGCCCAAACTTTTGATCCTTGTTTCCACTGACTAGATGAAAGGCGAATTGACATTCATGAAGTAGATCAGCTTGTCTGTATAAATAAGAATAGAATCTTTCTCCCCTGGAGGAAATGAGGAATGGAGATAACCTTGAGGGACTTGATCCAATTCCCACTTGTCTTACAGCCTTCTCTCTCTCTCTCTCACTCTTTCTCTCTCTCTCTGCAGCTGAACCGCTAATGGGTAGCAGTTTGCTTGAGGAAGCTTCAGTACATAGTAAAAACCTGGTGTCTTTAAACTCACAGCCCAACCTTGGAGTAGAGTCCTTGCACCTACCAGATACTAACACCATCCTGGGAGTAGAGGAAGGTAAGACTATGAATTTTCTTGTGTCTTTTAGGGGAGAGAAGGCTGAATGGAGTTGTGTCCAAAGTGAAGAGTTCCAACTAGGCTCATTTGTTGTGAATCTGTTCTGTGTATTCGAGGCTGTTGTGAAACAACTGAACATACTTTTCACAATTAGGATGTGTGAGATTTGGTGGCAGATGTAGATCTTGAGCTTGGTGCAAGGTCTGCCATTGCCAATGTCATAGAGAAGGCTTTTTGCTTCTCCTATGACATGGGTGAAAACCACTGAAGTATGATCTGTATTGTGGGATTTTGAACTCAATTCTTATCTTTTTGACTAGGCATTTGATGAATTTTATTTAGGAATAGAGCTAAGCAGACTGGTACTATGATGTATAGATGTTCTTCAGAGGATAGCATAGAAGGATGCTATAGCCTAGAATAGATTGTTCCTCGTTTCTTTGCCCTAGAATGATTTGAGACATTAATGTGCTCTTGAAATAAAGGTTCTGTGTAAACTTTATCTCTTTCCCTTCAGCGTGCCAGCAGGCAGTATTAGTGCAGTGACAAGAGCTCTGGATCTGGAAGTCAAGACCTGGCTTTATTTAAATCCTGGCTCTGCCACCTACCTGTGTGATTACCCCTCTCTGAGTCTCCATTTTCCTCACCCATAAAATGTAGACATTGGACTAGATCTTTTAAAATTTTTTTATAGCTTAAAACGTCTAATCCTTCTTTGGAGGCCAGTCTGATTTTAACCTAGGTATAGTGCTATACCGCCTCAGAGTTGACCTGGAAGTAGATCAGCTCTGGGGCCTGTGGAATTGAGGTAAATTTCACATAGCCCTAAATACCCCTATATTTTAGGCTAGCTAGTATTCCCATCTTCAGCCCATTGTGTAGAAGCTGTAGACCTTTCTGTCGTCAATGATTTTCCTCTCTGATTTTCTGAGTATTTTTAGGTCATGATATTGTCACTAATAATAGCTCACAAATATAAAGCACTTTATAGCTTACAAAATATTTTTCTTATAATAGCATTGTGCTTCTAATGAAGTAGCTGCCTTCCTACCTTTTCAGGGATATAATCCCTTCATGTTTGCCAAGTTCCTGCCTCCCCTTTTTGGATATTTACATGTGTTTTTAAAACTTTGGGTTCCAATTTTCTCCCTTCCTCCCTCCCCACCCACCCTCATTGAAAAGGTAAGCATTTCGGTACAGGTTATAGATGTGTAGTCATGCAAAACACTTCCATAGTAGTCCTGTTGTGAAAAACTAAGTATATTTCCCTGCATCCTATCCTACCCCCTATTTATTCTATTCTCTCTTTTGACCCTGTCCCTCCTCAGAAGTATTTGCTTTTGATTATCCCCTCCCCTAATCTGCCCTCCCCTCTATCAACCCCCTACTCTCTTGTCCCTTTCCCCCCTTATTTTCCTGTAGGGTAAGATAGATTTCCATACCCCATTGTGTATGTTATTTCCTCCTTAAGCCAAATCCTATGAGAATAAGATTCACCCATTTCCTCTCACCTTCCCCCATTTCCCCTCCACTGTAAAAGCCTTTTCTTGTCTGTTTCATATAAGATATTTTACCTCATTCTACTTCTCCCTTTCTCCTTCTCCCAGTATAATCCTCTCTCACCCCTTAATTTTATTTTCCAGATATCACCCCTTCATCTTCAACTTACCCTGTGCCCTCTATCTATCTATCTTATCTATTCATACATGTAATTTTTTCCCTCCCACCAGCCTAATACTGACAAAGGACTCATGAGTTACAAATATCATCTTTCCCTGCGGGAATGTAAACAGTTCAACCTTAATAAGTCTCTTGTGATTTCTCTTTTCCTGTTTACCTCTTCCATGTTTCACTTGAGTCTTGTATTTGAAAGTCATATTTTCTATTCACCTCTGGTCTTTTCCACATGAATGCTTGAAAGTACCCTATTTCATCGAATGACAATTTTTTACCCTGAAGGATTATACTCAGTTTTGCTGGGTAGGTGATTCTAGGTTGTAGTCCTAACTCCTTTGCCCTCCGGAATATCATACTCCATGCCCTCCAGACCATTAATGTAGAACCTGCTAAATCTTGTGTTACCCTGATTGTGTTTCCATAGTATTTGAATTGTTTCCTTCTGGCTGCTTGCACTATCTTCTCCTTGACCTGAGAATTCTGGAATTTGGCTATAACATTTCTAGGAGTTTTCCTTTGGGGATCTCTTTCAGGAGGTGATGGGTGGATTCTTTCAATTTCCATTTTGCCCTGTGGTTCTAAAATATCAGGGCAGTTTTCCTTGATAATTTCTTGAAAGATGATGTCTAGGCTCTTTTTGTGATCATGGCTTTCAGATAGTCCAATAATTTTTAAGTTCTCTCTCCTGGATCTATTTTCCAGGTCAGTTATTTTTCCAGTGAGATATTTCACATTCTGTTCTATTTTTTCACTCCTTTTAATTAGTGTTGCAGTGCCTTGATTTCTCAAATTGTCCCTAGTTTCCAATTTCTCCATTCTAATTTTTAAGGAGTATTTTCTTCAGTAAGCTTTTGGACTTGTTTTTCCATTTGGCCAGTTTTGCTTTTTAGGGCATTCTTCTCCTCATTGGCTTTTTGGACCTCTTTTGCCATTTGGGTTAGGCTATTTTTTAAGGTGTTATTTTCTTCAGTATTTTTTTGGGTCTCCTTTAGCATCACTCTCAGTTTTTCCTCTGCTTCTCTTACTTGCTTCTCAAAATCCTTTTTGAGCTCTTCCATGGCCTGGGACCAATTCATATTTTTCTTGGAGGCTTTGGATGTAGGAGCTTTGACTTTGTTGTCTTCTTCTGGTTGTATGTTTTGATTTTCTTTGTCATCACAGTAAGATAATATAGTCTGACTCTTTTTTGAGCTGCTTGCTCATGATCTCAGCCAATTACTTGAGTTATAGACTCTTTGTTAAGGTAGGAGTCTGTTTCCAGTGTGGAGAATGTACTGTCCCAAGCTTCAGGGGTTTTGTGCAGCTGTTTTCAGAGATACCTCTAGGGACTTGTAAATTTTCAGTTCTTCCAAGGTGCTATGATCAAGGGCAAGGTGGTTTCTCTGGTCTGTGAGCACTCTTTTCTGTCTTGAAACTGTGAGGAGGGTTTCCTCTCCAGCCACTACAAGCTCCACCATGCCATCACTCTTCCTTGCCCCAGGACTGCCACCCAGAACTGTGACCCAGATCCAAGCACAGGCAAAGGAAGAGAATCCTGCACCAGCAGAGAGATCCCTGCAATCCCCCTCTGATCAGCCATTCGATTCCCCCTCAGTCTATGGGCTGGAAGCTCAGGAAGCAGCCGCCGCCCCAAGGAATGGGGCTGGGACCCCATGCTCCTCTCTCACCACTGTAAAAACAGACTTTTCTCACTGACTTTCTAAGTTGTCTTTGGTGTTCATGGGTTGAGAAGTCTGGAAACTGCCACAGCTGCCCTTGATTCAGTCCTCTGAGGCCTGCTCCAGGTTCTATGTGGCCTGCACGCCCACGCCAAACTGCATTCTTCTTCCCGCCCGGCACGATATACCTTTCTGCTTAACCATCCAGGCTGTCTTTGGCTGGAAATTTGTTTCACTCTGTTTTTGTGGATTCTGCTGCTTTAGAATTTGTTTAGAGCCATTATTTATAGGTATTTGGAGGGGTTTGGGGGAGAGCTCAAGCAAGTCACTGCTTTTACTCTGCCATCTTGGTTCCGCCCCCCCTTGGATATTTACAGATTGCTATGCTTTAGACCCTCTTCTTTTCTGTGATTTCTTGTGGTTTTCTCTCTATTTGACATCCATTTTCCAAGCTTCCTACAATGTAAAATGATATATTCCTTGCCACTCTGCTAAAGAAAACATTCCCTTTGATCTTAGCATTATGTTTTTTGATCAAGTACTCTTTTTGTATAGAAATTTTACTTGAGGTCAAAAAGCCAGTTTTCTCCACTCCTTGAAATATTTTATCCAGGTGCCAACAAAGTATTAAGTGCCTGACTCTGCTTACAAAAAGTAGAAGACCCAGTCAAAGCACTTAGAGTATAGATGGAGAGAGTAAGACTTACATAGATAAAATAGTGTTGAGCCATGTGAAATTGTGTGTTATGGGCCGTGAGCCTGTGTACAGGTCAGGAGTGGAAGGTTGGTGTGAATTGCAAGAACATTAGCTGAGAATCTTTGTGTATAGCAAGGTTTAACTACAGCACTTGGGTAAGTTCTATCAGGAATCCTTAGGGCACACATTGTGCCTGGCAGATTCTGTTCCATGATGAACAGACAAGCTTTTGGTTTCCACTTATAAGGCTGATGGATAATTAAAGCACACAACATGGAAATTTTGTGGATATCAATTTACCAGCTACAAAAAAGGCAAAAGATTTAAGAAAGTGGAGAAAATATAGCAGAAGTATTGACCTGTGTTTAGTGTCCCTCTGAATCTTTTTAAGTGAAGGTTTCACTCATACATAATCTTTTAATAGAGGATATTTTATGGTATCTTAGGGGACTTTCTTAAAAGGGCCAATTCTGATTCTGATAGTGCTGATGTGGGCAGCTTTCCTCAATGTACTTTTTTTTTTCTCAATGTACTCTTGGCATATGCTTTATTTTCAGCTGTGTAGCAATTTTCATTTTAAAAAATGTATCAATCTGTTACCTAGATTTTCTGTCTTTTCTACTCAGTTTATAATCATTGATTTAGATTTGGGATGTCATATCAGCTGCCTCATTTTACAGATGTGGAAACTGAGGCCTAGGGAGAGGTTCAAGGTCTGCCTTTACTCCTAAGTCCCCCATTCCGATGTACCATGCCCTGCTGTTGCTTTTATATTTGTATATCATTTGTATATAATTCCAGAACTTAAGAGTTCAGTTTTCATTTAAGCATCTGCCAAGGCCTAATTCTTTTTTTTTTTTTTTTTTTTTTTAAAGAGAGGAGTCCTTACTGGCTTTTCCTTAGTCCTTTTGTGCATCAGGTATATGTGTAGGTTTCATTCTTTCTCTAGTAATACCTTCTGTTGTCCACAGAAGTGCTTGCAGAAGGAGCTTCACGTTCTTTGTCTTCAGCACCAGAAGTGGTTCTGTCACAGTCACATCACCTGGTGCCCATGTCTACTGGGAGACAGTCATATGAGGTTTCTGCCTTATTACAGTAAATCTACAGGAGGTAAGACAGCTGAGAAGCATGTGGTGTCTATTTACCTAACTTTTTAGTATCTTAATCTGACAAGCATGGAGATTAGTTGGAACTCTGGCTTCGATAATACTACAGACATACAAAAAGGGGGGAGAACCTTGATATTTTCTGACTTCAGCCCTGGAGAAGATGGCACACTGGACAGTCTCTTATATCTTTAGCTAAGCAACAGTCTAGTTTTGAACAGACTCTTGTCCATCTGAGTGGCAGTGTTTATTGAAGTGGAAGGTTTGGCCCATCAGAATTGGTATTTTTCATTCTTTGAATTCAGTATTTCATTTCTCTTATCCTTTCACATACACATACACACTCTACATGTTGTGGATATTCTCTTTACTTTGTAGAAGAGAAAACAACATCCTCCAGGAAGGCATTGATATATACATGCCTCCAGGGACCAGGATAGGAATAGAGGCAGTAATTTAAAATAACCAGAATTGGTCAATTCAGCTGCCTAAGATTCTATCAGAAGGTGACCCAGAAGTGTTTATTTGGGGACATATATTGACTGGTTAAATAGGCAACTGTTATTCAAAGTAAGAGAAGGGTTTAGGGATGGGGAGATGATTTTAGTTCATTTTCATTTTTTTCTTTTTCTTTTTTTACAGTTACTAAAGCAAGGTGGTGTATCAGAAAAATGGACATCATAACGAATGTTGATTCTTGGAAGAACTAGCTATATGCTTGAGTCCCAAGTGCACACATTGGGGTACAGGATGCTTTTAGCTTATGGTCTGACAGAACCAAAATGAAACTGATGCAGGCTATGACTGGCCCTCATTCATCTTTTCCTTGCACACAGAATGAATGTGGGAGTGATCATTGCTCTGGGGCCTCTTCAAACTTACCATCTGATGCAGAGGAGGAATAAAGCACTGAATGTGAACTGGGTAACTGTCTTTCTTCCTCCCATTGCATTTTGGGGCTGACTTCTGAAGGTGAATTTGATTTAGAAGCATCAGCTAACGTGGGATGTTACTGTTGATTGGAGGAAGACTTGTTTCCCATCCTGCCTCAGCTATCTTTTCACATGGATGAATACAGTTCTGCCTATGAGGTGACAGAACTTCTCCAGGAAGCCGAGATTTCAAGATGCCTTGTGGCTTTGGGGGAAGGGGTGTTATCAGTTCTAAGTGACCTTCTTTCTTTTGGTTACTTAGCATGAGTTTTCCCCCTACTGGGCTGCAAATATAAAATTTACTTGAATCCCCCTTGGCCCTAGGGCTGAGATGCCATCTTCTCCTACCCACCTCCACTTGGTCACTTTGCCCCATACTGTTTTCTTAGTTTCTAAAACTTATGGTAGCATGTTAAAGAAGATTTTTAATTTAAAAATCAGATGATGAGCTTCATTTGTTTTATCTTTAAATAAACAAACCAACAGCCTAGTTCTTTTTTGTCTCCTTGTTTGGGATGATACTTAACTTTCTTAGCATGGGAATAAATGCCATAATCTAACTTCTTCCTTTTTGGAAGGGTACACACTTAATTGATCCTCAGGGAGCAATTCAGCCAAGTAGAGTTGTACTCTGTGAGCACTGAGACTTGTTTGTGAGGTCTTCATCTTAGTTTTCTCATCTGTAAAACGGGGAAACTGGACAAGATAACCTAACAGTCTCTGAACTTAGGTTGTAGAAGGAGAGTTGGAGAGTACTTTCAAGGCTATCTAGTCCAACTCTCATTTTACAGCTGGGGAAATAGGCCCAGCTTACCCAGGTAGTAAATAGCGGAGCCATAATTGGAACCCAGGTACTCTGACTCCAGTTCCAGCCCCTTTTCTGCTGAATCACTGCTTCCCTTGGAAGATGTAGGGAAAGAGGCTTGGAATGATTGTTCACAATATCAATTTATGGAATTTCTGAACTTATTCAGAGATGGCTTTTAAAAAAATCAACCATAGTATGCACATTCTCCCTCAATAGCGTGGAGCTGAAGACTAGGTCTTCCCAGTGCCTGGAAGGGGAAAAGAGTGGAAAGGAAGTACCTTCCTGCTGTCTTGGGCAGACAACTGTGGTATTTCTGATATTCTAGCTCCCCTAAAAGAGAGAGGATGTGGGAGTTGTGGATATTAAGATCTGGCTCTTTGCCAAGTGTCTAGCCAAAGACAGTTTTCCAACTTCTCCTTCCCCCTCCCCCCTTTCCCAAGTTCCCTTGGCAATCAGTCATTCCAGCGTCTCTTCAGGTGATTTCCATATCTGTTTTTAGTCTTAAGCTTTCAGCAGCCTGCCTATAGAAGGTCTCTACATGGATGTCCCTCAAACTCAACATGTTGAAAAACTGATACTATCTTTCCCCTAAGCCAACTGATGTCATCATTTCTGTCTAGGGCATCACTGTTTAACACATTTTCGTTTGGTCAGAATCTTGGTGTTATCTTTGTTCCTCGCCCTCACCTTTCATATACAAATAATAACCAAGTCCTGTCAATTCCATGTTTGCAATACCTCTGGTATCTGTCCTCCACTTTCTTTCCATTGCCACTATTCTAAGTACAGGTCTTCATTACCACCTTCTTAGAGTATTTTGATAGACCCAAGAGGCCTTCCCACAAAGCTAATCTCTCTCCTTAAATCCATTTTTTATTCTATTGCCAACCTCGATTTCCTACTGTACCTACTGTGTAACTAGCTCTTGTATAAGCTTGGTATTCAGGGGCCTCTAACATCTGAAACCATTATACCTTTCCAGCATTATTTCCTATTACCTTCCTCTTCCTACTCTATGCTTCAATCCAACTAGAGTAGTTGTTATCCCTTGGACATACATTGTCCTTTCCTATCTTTTGTGTTCATTCTAATTAATAATCATGTTTGGAATGTCCTTCCTTTCTTCTTGCTGAAATCCTATTCATCCTTTGAAGCCCAATTAAATTGTCACCTCCATGAAGTCTGCTTCATGTCAGCAACTAATTTCTCCATCAGACCTACTATACTTCCAAAAAGCCTGTTGCTTTTTTTTCCCCAGGCCCAGTGTTTCTAACAAGCCATCCATGCCCAAACCACACCTCCTTTTCCTATCTGGCACTCCTTCCTGTTCTCTGCTGTCCTTTTCAAAAGGAGGAGAACATGTGAGAAAACCAGGTTAGGAATTACAGGAGCCTGATCACTAAACTCCTACATTGCATGAAACTTATGGAACAGTTTTTTCATATTAACTTTGTACAACTAACACTATTTTATAGATGAGCAAACAGAATTGATGTGACTTGTCCAGAGCCATGTAACTGGTAAGCAGGACTTCAACCCAAGCTTTCTGATTCCAAGACTTAATTGTCTTCATTGACCTTCTTGCTGGTGGTTATTGGGTATAACTATAATGTCAAGATGGTACTATCAGAAGCAGTTTGTGACTTTGAGTATGGAAGAATGGTAGTGTTGTAACTCCTTAAACATATTTCTCTAAGTGACAATTAAAAAACTCAGTAAGGGTATATCTTTTGGAGTAGCCACCATTTTTTTTTCCTGGAAGTGGGACATCACTGATTATGATGATTTAATCATTGTCAAAATACCTTTTCAGAAACAAATGTTCAACTTGATGTTGCAGAAACTGGCTATTCCACATTAAGATGTGTTGGTGACATATACAAATTATAGGTAAGGTATGTAAAAATAAACAATTTATAATTATTGTTTTTGCCTCAAACTTATTAGTGAGAAAAGTACTATGTTCTTTTCTAATGTATCAAGAAATACTCTTATAGAATATTTATTAGGTGTCTGCTATGTGAGAGGGACTTTACTAGAGAATAAAGAACAGTTGCTGTCCATAAGGAACTTTAATAGTTCATTATTATTCTCTTTAACTTGTCAGCCTCAGATGCCTATTCCTCTTGTGCTGGTAAGAGTCCACTGGGGATTGGGGAGGTCATAATTTTAGGTTTAGTACTGTCTTGAAACAGATCTAACCTGTACCATTCCTAAGGTTTGCTATCTTCTGTTGTTATATCTGCTGCAAGTATAAGATGCAAACCTTTAGGCTAATGAAGATTGAAATTGTATCCTTTATACTTCCATAGGAAAAACTGCCTCTTTGGTCTGTTTCAGATTAACCTCCTTTGCTAATCCTGGGAGCCATCAGTTTGTGAACTCATCCATGCACACTACTTACCTGCTGCCCCAACTTTTCTCAAAATGCCCCTGCAGACTGTTTTCCCATTTCCCTTTTATTAAGTATCTTATTATGTGCAAGATACCAGGCAGCTGCAAAGATAAGCAAGACAATTTGTCTCCTTGAGCTAACAATCAAGTTGGAGACCTAAGACATTGATTTTTAGTTACACTGCATAAGAGGGGCACAAAGTACACTGAACGTTTGGGGAGGAGAGATCACTTCTACCTGGGAAAAAGAAGTAACATTCAGCAGGTTGAAATGGTGGGGAGATTATTGCATTTGGAATGGTATGAGCTACGACACCAAGACAGGAAAAGTAATGGGTATTCAAAGAGGCAATGTAGTCTGGTTAGAGTACTTGTTTAAGAAAATTATTTGAAGCTGGAAATGGATGTTATAGTCAAGAAGTAAGGGACCTTGAATACCAATCTTAAAGAGTTTAGACTTTTGTTTTTTATCGTTCCTCTTACTCGTTCTAATTTTTTAAAACATGACTAATGTGAAAATATGTTTAATAGGAATGTATATGTAGAGCCTATATCAGACTGCACACCATCTCGGAGAGGGAGTGAGAGAAAAGTTAAAACTCAAAAGCTTATGGAAGTGAATGTTGAAAACTAAAAATAAAAAGAGTTTAGTTTACATCTGTTAGGCAATGCAGGACAGCCATGAAAAGTTTTTGAGTGGTGGAGGAACAGGATAAGATCTATGCATTAGAAAGATTAATCTGCAAATGAGGGATAGATTGAAGAAGGGTAGGTTCTGAGTATAGGCAATAATGTTGCTATTGGTAGAAATTTAAAAAAAAACCAAAGGTTTTAGGAGAAAATGTTTTAAGATATGTTGATTTTCTGGTGTTGCTAGAGTTGTCTTCCATAAATCCTACTCCTTGTGTCACAGAGGTGACCTCTTGGCTATGCCAAGAGAATATAAGCTCTGGAAAGTGCTTCAAATATGATCCTGGCAGCGTATTTTCTATTTCTGAGGTCCAGCCTAAGTGTACAACAGAATATCACTAGTAGACTGGTCAGAATTCAGAATGGCCCTCAGTCTCATGGTGCAGCTTCCTTCTGCTTTTGCAGTGATGGTGGCAGTGATAGAAAAAGGAGCAGAACTTTCCAAACATTAGCAACACCTTTTTTATATAAAAAATTTTTCATGCTCCCTTTTTAAAATAGTATTTCATTTTTTAAATTATATGTAAAGATAATTTTTTAACATTCATTTTTATAAAATTTTGAGTTCCAAATTTTTCTTCCTCATCCTAAAACAGTAATCAATATATAGGTTATTTACGTGCAATCATATAAAACATTTCCATATTAGTCACGTTGTGAAAGAAGAAACAGACCAAAAGGGAAAAAAATCACAAAAAAATTAAGTGAAAACAGTATGCTTCAATCTGCGTTCATACTTCATCAGTTTTTTCCCTGATGTGGATAGCATTTTCCTTTGGAAAATCCTTTGGAATTGTCTTGGATCACTGTATACCTGAGAGGAGCTAAGTCATTCATAGCTGATCATCATAAAATCTTGCCATATACTGTGTACAGTGTTCTCCTGGTTCTCATTTCACTTTTCATCAATTCATGTAAATCTTCCCAGGTTTTTTTGAAAGCATGTTGCTCTTCATTTCTTACAGCCCAACAGTATTCCATTACATTCATATACCACAGCTTGTTCAGCCATTTCCCAATTGATGGGCATCCCCTCAATTTCCAATTTGCCACCACAAAAAGAGCTACTATAAATATTTTTGTACCTGTAGGTCCTTTCTCCTTTTTTTATGATCTCTTTAGGATGCAGACCTAGAAATGGTATGACTGGATCAAAGTGTATGCACAGTTTGATTGCCTTTGGGTATAGTTCCAAATTGCTCTCCAGAATGGCTAGATTAGTTCACAACTCCACCAACACTGCATTAGTGTCCCAATTTTCCCATATCCCCTCCAAAGTTTAGCATTTTCTTTTTCTGTCATATTAGTCAATCTGATAGGTGTGAGGGTGGTACCTCAGAGTTGTTTTAATGTGCATTTCTCTGATCAAAAGTGATTTACAGCATATCTTCATGTGACTGTAGATACATACCCCTTTTTATAAAGCAGTCTATGCAAATTTTTTTGGCTCATATTTTGTTCAAATAAAGTTAAGAATTTATTCATTTTTATAACAACTCTCAAACATACTAATGTAACATTGATAAAATCATTTACAATTTTCACATAACATTAAAATAATGTGATAGATGGGCTTATCTGTAAAATTTTTCCAATGGTGGTATATTGATGGGTATTGTTACTCAATTATTTTTCAACCAATAATCAAGACATTTTTATCTTTAGAAGCTACAGCAGAAAACTCTTATACAAATAAAATGTTAGGAACCGCAGTAGAATTTATATTGCTTTGCTTAATAAGCCAAAGGATTCTTTATTCACCATAGCCAAATCATACTGATTTCCAGATTCAAACACTTAATTTCAACATTCAGTACTACTGTAAGAAAAGTCTAACCATTTTTTGTTCAGATGGAGAAAGACCAAATGAATCATCCTATTTGTCCATGGGCATATGGATTCCTTATTAATATATATTTGGAAACATAATGATTCACTTCTTGTAGACTGGTCAAGTAGTAAGCAGGTCTTAATTTTTAAAAATTGGGAAATAATGCTAACATTTAAAAATTTTTTTCTGATAGGTCTAACTTTCAGACGTAGTCAGCTTATCTTTCTGAGAGTATGAATTTAAGGACTTTGCACTGATTTTTAGAGTACTGTTTTTTCAAGAATATCCATCAAATATTCAACTTTTAGGTGGAAATTCTTGTTGTAAAATGAATGTTTAATCTTTATTATTATCCGTAAGGAAAAAATGGCAATATCTTATATAAGCTCAAAAATTCTTCTAAGTACTTTGTAATGAGAAAGCCACCATGCTTTATGATAACATATAAGTGCTCTATTGTCTGATTTCATAGTGTGAGATGATTTTGTAAGAAGCCATCCTTTTGTTATACTCTCTGTAAAGTTACTTATAAGTACTTGGAGAACTATAGCATACGTCATGTCCAAATTGCTGGTGTGTGGGAGCAGCACATCTCTGAGTAGTACATGAGATCAGTTGGGTGCCTTCTAATATCTCTTATGTTAATATCTTTTTTTTTTCCATTTAAAAACCTGTAATTATATCGAAATTTTATCTTCTTGTGACAGTGCTATCTACGGGTTTGTAAAGTTGCAAATCTTCCCTATAGTTTTAACAATACAGGGTGTCCCCAAAGTGTCTCAGTGCAGTTTTAAGCTCTAATAGTTTTAAACTGTACTAAAATGTTTGGGAGGCTGTGTGTGTGTACAGACAGACAGACAAGACAGACAGACAGACACACACACACACACACACACACACACAGATATAGATATCTCCAATCAAAATGACCTTTACTTCACTTCCAATGCAAAATAAAAAGATTTTGGTTTCTCAAATGATTGATCACAAAGGTCTTCAAAAATTAGGGCTATTAACTTTCCAACCATATTCTCTGCAAGAAGAACCATTCAAATATATCTAGCATGTAACAGGCCAAACATCATTTCAACAGCTGCAGATAGTACCAATATTTCTCCTACTGAAGGAAGTGTTTTTACACTGTCCAAATCTGGAAGCAAACTTACTTGGCTTTTTAAAAAGTTTGTTTTTGCTTATTCAAAGCATCTAGTTTTTTCTCTGGAAAAATAATCTTGCTCTAATATACTTTGTATATACATTTTTAAGAATTTCAGTTTATTAGGTTTCATTCACTTTGGAGTTAAAACATTCATGCAAAAAGCAAACAGTGCTCTTCTCTATCAGTAACAGTACTTGTGAATCCCAATGATAAGGACTGTGGATTAGATTTTCTCAATTTGAGCTTTTTACTTTGTTTTTCTGTATTCTGACTATTTGTCTCTGTTTTCTTTATTCATACTAGTTTCAGCTGCTCTAGTGAATTTTCCCTTCAAATTGGTTATGTTTTTATTCTTCATGAAGAGATATTTAAACTTCAAAAATTAAATACAATAAAAATTGATAGATTTAAACACTGAAATTTTCAAATGATTATAACTATATTTGAATTATTTCAATTTGTTTTTAAGTTACAAAGGCTTGGGTGTTTGTTTTTTGAAACTAGCTTACTTGCCAAAATGAATGGTGAGAAAATATTATGGGTATGTTTCAATTTCCACATAAAGGCTATTAAACTTCGATTTCATATACATTATATTTAAATACATTTATATTTAAATATCACATGGAAACAACTGACAGTGCTATCGACATGCAATAACTCAAATTTGACCTCATTTGTGCATGAAGAATCTAATGATTACTACACTGCATTCAGTCATTTTGAACAAATTTGCTGTTACTCTTGGCTTCTTTGACTCAAACTTTGTTCTCACTGAAAAAAGCAGATGTATATTCCTTCACTTCCTCCGCCAGCCCAAGGGTCTTGTACTCTACAATACAGAAAACCCAATTTAAAGAAAGGTGACAAGAGAGCCAACTAAGCAAAGCCTTCCCAAGGGCATTTAAGGACGAAAAAAAGGTAACAAACAACCAAAAAGCTGGACAAGATCACGAAGATTTTTATAACAAACTCTTTCCACTGTCAGGGACAGTGGAGCCACTACATATGAACTCTAACATCATAGACCTATCTAAAGTTACATTCTGCTTACAGAGAAAGTGGAACTTACGAAAGATGTAATTAAAAACAAAAAAAAACAAAAACAGCTGGCCTGGACCAAGTAAGTATACACAGAAGACATCTGTGCTGTAGGCAACAGCTTTGAGGGAACCAAGGGACTCATTCTCAAGGTATCTGAAGAAGGGAAAGACACAAAAGATATAGGAAAAAAAAATCTCAGGCCTTACTACTACTAAAAGGTGTCCAAGAGAACTACCAGCCCGTATGCCTTTCTGTTCTATACAAAATTTCTCTAAGAATAATCATGTACATCGAGGACATCCTTGTTGAGGCTCTCTGAAAGCCACAAGATGGCTTTTATAAATAATATTTCAGTGGACTGTCTTCACCATCATGCAACCCAATGAGGTGGAGAACAATATGCCATCACCATGTTGGTCGTTTGTCTTTTATAAAACAAAAACCACTTGATTTGGCAGATTAAAACACCTTAAAGGCTCTCCTTCAACAAGGTGCCCTCCCAAGCGTATGTCAGGATTTCATAAGATTCCTTATAGCAACAGTGAGAACCTCAGGTAATGATTTTCCAATTAATGTTACTCGGTCGTTTTTCATTCATATCTAACTCTTTGTGACCCCATTTGGGGTTTTCTTGGCAAAGTTACTGGAGTGGTTTGCCATTTCCCTCTCCAGCTCATTTTACAGATGAGGAACTGAGGCAAACAGGGTTAAGTGACTTGCCCAGGGTCACCCACCTAGTAAGTATCTGAGGCCAGATTTTAACTCATGAAGATGAGTTTTCCTGACTCCAGGCCTGTCATTCTATCCATTGCACCACCTAGCTGCCCCAATTATCATAACAAGTGATAAAAGGGAGATGTGTACTGACCAAAAGCCTTCACCACTGGCATGAAGGTCTAGTGCAGACCAAAAGAAGGAAGGATTTCCTACAGATGATGCTATAACAGCCTGTTTTCTGAAGGAAATCTGTAATCAGTAAGGAGTTTGGTCTGCTATGCATACAGGAAAAGCCAAGTGGTTGAAGAACGACTCTTACTTAGACAATCAAGTATTTATTAAGCGCCTATTATGTGCCCATATTGTACTAGGTGCTGGAGATGTAAGTACAAAGAATGAAGCAATCCCTAACCACAAGGAGTTTACATTCTAATGGGGGACACAAGCACATATAAATATATACAGCATAAACGTAAGGTGAATGAACAGTTAAATGCAAGGGAAGGGAGTTTGTGAGGAAGGGCATGAGCAGCTGAGGGGATCAGGAAAGGTTTCATGCCCAAGATGGTGCTTGAGCTATGTGTGAAAGGAAGAGGTGGACTGTGAGATACTGAGGAGGGAGTACGTTCCAGGTGTGTGAGATGGTCTCTGAAAAAAGGCACAGAGGTTGGAGACAGAGCGTCATGTGAGGGTACAGAGAAAAGGCCAAGTTGGCTGGATCACAGAGGGTGGGAGGGGGATATATCTTGGACAGATGCTGCAAATGGATGAGATTAGCCCAAAACTGGCCAAGAGGAGGAAGAGACAAATGTATTACCTTTTAGTGATCTTAAGCTTTAACCTGAAACCAAAGCCCACCTTTTTCATACCATATTCTTCTGGTGATTTTGCATGGCTTTGATTAATGGGATATGGAAAACTAGAGTATCCAGAGAACTGAAGTTGAGGATGACCCAAAGGGGAATGGAGAAGTGCATGATTGGCATGAACATGCAGCAACACACTGAAACGCAGAATTACTAAGCAAAGCATTCTAAAGGATATCATCAGAGAAATAACATGGTTAAAAAAGGAGATGGGTGGGTGGCATGGTGAAAATGAAGGATAACTAATAGACCTATGTGCTCCCCCAGTATCTTCACAGAATCAGAAGCACTCAAAAGAAAGCTCAGGTACACTGGGTAGTGGAAAATAAACAGGAGGACTCTGATGACATGTGAACAGGAAGGCCATGCATGGACGGAGAGGAAGAGCACCTGTATCAATGACATCACAGATCACTGAAGTATCGGAGACCGAGATGTTCGACGAAGTTAGAAATAGGAGTTTGGAGTTTGGAAAAACGTTGAGGTTAAGAAGAGTAATAATTAAAGCCACAGGAGTAGATGAGTTGGTGAAGGGAGAATATGTTACAGACAGATAAGGGCTGAAAACAGAAACCTAGGGAACACCTACATATAAGAGGAAAAAGGAGACACAGTCAAGGTTAGTGGGGTAGGAGGAAAACCAGGAGGTTAAAGTGTCATAAAAGCAAAAGGTTTGGAGAAGGGGAAGGGAAATGTGTCAACAATATAAAATGTAGAGTTCAAGGAGAATTTGATTTGATTAAATTCAGCAAAAAAAAAATGATGAGACTAAGAAGGGAGTAATGGATTTGTCATTTTGAAAGATAACTTTCAGTAAAATTGTGGGAACAGAAACAAGATTAGAAGGGACTGAGGAACGAGTGAGTAGCAAGGAAATGGAGGTATAAATATAGAAGCATAGCTTCCAGGAATAAGAAGATGAGAGTTCCACTGTACTGTACTGAGGTCTAGGCCCCACATTTGAGAAAGGTAGACAGACAGCATCCAAAGGACAGTAACCAAAGTAGTGAGGGGCCTTGAACTTCTGCCACGTGAGGACTGGTTCAAGGAACTAGGGATGTTTATTTAGCCTGGAGAAGAGAAGGCTAGGGGAGATAATAAGATAGCTATTTTCTAAGTATCTAAAAGGCTATCATTTGAGAGAGGAGACTTTTTCTGTTTGGCCCGAGAAGGCAAAACTAGGAGCAATGGGTAGAACCAGGAAAGATGCAAATTTAGGTATAATGTAAGAAAAAAATTTCCTTAAAATTAGAGCTGCCCCAAAGTAGAACGAGCTGCTTCAGAAGATGACTCTTCCAAGCAAAGGCTGGATGACCACTTCTCTGGGAGTTTGTAGTGGAGATTTCCCCCCCAAGAATAGGTTGAACTGAGGAATCACTGCAATCCCTTCCAACTCTAAAATTCAGTGATTCTGTGATTTTCAATAAGCCAAGAAGTGAAAAAAAGAGAAAAAAGGTGGAATGGGGGTTGGAGGGAAGCAGAAAGGTCTGAGGGTTTTGTTTAGGCTACAGGAGATCTGAGAATGTGTGAAGGTAGAAAGGACTGATCCAATGGAGAGGAAAAGACTGAAGATGCAAGAAAGAAAGGGGGTGATGGATCAAAGTCCAGAAAGAGGAGTAAGTCATCTACAATAATGAAAAGCAGAGCTTCATGTGTTGAAAAAAGGGTTAGAACAGGTGCTTTCTAAGGTGCCCCACAACCATATGATTTTAAATATCAACCCACAGGCCCACAAGTAAAACAGTGCTTTAAGAGGTCTCAGTCACTTCCTGGCCTGTCCTCTCACCAACCTTGTGGCTGAGTGTTTTTTTTCTGAAAGCAGTAATAGCGGGAGAAGAATCAGGCAAGCCGTTTGGAAGTATCTGGTGAGTCAAAGGGCAGCTCCATAAAATCTTCCTCTGAGGGAGTACATTTCATTTCTTCCGGGGATTCTTCTGAATCTTGCTGTGAACTACTACTGAACAGTTCCTTGCTTTCAGGGTGGCTGCAGAATAAATGTTAGCATTTAGTTGGGTTTAGGATGTTTCTTATTTTGAAGGGGCTTGGGAAAGTCATTCCCAGGGGGGAAAATGGAAAAGAGATTATAGCTTAGTATATCACGCAAAACTGGGCTTGAAGACTACTCTTCTCCCTCCTCCTTTTTTTATATCTAATTCAGAAATCAAACAATCAACAAGTGTTTTAAAAATGTCTCTCTAGTGCCTGACACCGGGGATACAATGATTAACCCTGTCCCCCTGCCAAAAAGAAAAAGAAAAAAGAAAAACAAAGTCTCTGCCCTCCAAGAGCTTATAGTCTAGAACTTCAGTTGCCCTACGTCCAGTGAGGAATGGGACTGAAACTAACCTAGATAGGTACTATGGGAATAATTTATCTTGTGTACCTCATTGTATTACACAACAAACTGGTCCAAAGGAGTTTCCTTTCTAAAACAATCTGAATCAGAACTTTAAAAAGTAATTTCTTTTCTCTTTTCTTTCTCTCGCCTTTCACTTGGTGATCTCTTCACTTCCCACGAGTTCCATGTTTATCTTTCTGCATATGACTCACCCATCTCTACAGCCTTAGTCTTTCTCCTGAGATTCAGGCCTGCAGCATCAACTGCCTACTGGACATTTTGAACTAGATGTTCTTTAGTCATTACCTTTCCCCTAAAATCCATGCTTCTTCTGGACTTCCCTCCTTGTATCAAGGGCACCACTATCTTTCTAATCCTTCGTGTTTGCAGCCTTGGTGTCACTCTTAATTCCTCACTTTCATTCACCCTACATAATCAATTGCCAAATCTTCTCATTTCTTTCTCCATAATATTCTTCTTCTTTTTATGCAAAGAGACGACACCCTATATCAGGCCTTCGTTGCCTCTCACTTAAACTACTTATAACTGCTTCCTAACTGGTCTCCCTGCCTTGAGTCTTTCCTCATTCTAAACTATCCTTTGCACAGCTGTCAAAGTAATCTTCCTAAGCCATAGGTCTGACTATGTCTCTCTGTCTGTCTCTTTCTCTTGCACCATTCAATAAACTACAGAGGCTCCCTATTACCTCGAGGATCAAATACAACCTTCTCTTTTACATTTACAGTGCTTCACAACCTGATTCTTTCTCCTGTCTTTCCAATCTTACACATTACTCTCCTCTACACATTTTGTGGTCCAGCCATACTGGCCTAATCGCTGCTCCTTATACACAATTCTCCATCTTGACTCTCTGGGCCTTCATGCTGGAATCTTTTCCTCTTCATTTCCACCTCTTAAAACCCCTGGCTTTCTTCAATACTCAGCTCAAATTCTACCTTTTGCAGGTCTTTCCCAGTGCTCCTGGCTCCTACTATCTTCCCCTCTAAGAGGCCTTTCATCTCCTCGGTTTACCTCCTGTATACCTATTTATGTACAGGTTTTCTTTTCCTTTAGAATGTAAGCTTCTTAAGAGTAAGGCCTATCTTTGCTGTTTCTTAGTATCTCTAGCATTTGGCACAGAGCCTAGCTCAGAAGCAACCACTTGATAAATGCTTCTTGACTGGCTGATCTTGGCATTAGATGTAGTTAGTTGGTTAATGTGACTCAAATTTTAACTGGTCAGAACCTAACCTAAAAGAGTGAAACTGAACTCACAGCTGAGCTTAAAAAAAAAACAAAGCATCAGATAGAAACTTTAAAATTCTTGAAAGTGATGCTAGATAAATGCATGTTATTAATTTCAAAATGTGAGGAAGTATCAAGTAGAAGTTTACCCTGTACCCCAACAGCATCAACCCCCTGGGCCAAAAGGTAGCAATTCAATGTAAAGAAACATTAGAAAACGAATACCTGGGGGAATCACTTCCTTCCTTGTCTTCTTCACTCCATCCCAAGTCAATGGCATGTTGTCCTTTGTTCCTCACAAAGTCCTCATCTAAACCCACCTTCCGTAGTACGTCTCTGTATCTGCGCTCTGCCTCTTTCCTGGCACGGATCTATATAGTGATAAATCAGATATTTGTAACTTGTGTCCCATATGCTAGCCACCCTGAGTAATGGACATGGATCTTTTGTGGGCAAAAAAGTACCTCTTAGATGTTAAGGGCAAAATCATACTTGGGAGCTCTGCACCTTTCTTGGAGAAATGAAGTTTAAAGGCTACGATGGGGATTGATACTGAATTGGCTTGAAGAATAAAATTAATTTAAACAAGTTAAGAAATCTGAAATTTTTTCAGTAATTTTTAGCACAGCAGGTGGGGGCTGGGGACTGTAATAATCTACTTTCTCCAGGTTTCAGATAGCCAATTAGATACTCTCTGGAGCACATGGGCCCATCTGAGTGCCCAGCAATCCCAAACAGGCCACTGGGGAAACCCAGCTGGTATCTCAATTCCTTGGGCAAAAATGGGATCTTAACACTGGGAGTGTGGGTAGAATAAGATCTAGCCTTTAATAACCTTTAGATGGCCAATGTCATTCCTAGATTTCCCAAGAGAGTCTGGGATGAACTTCTTAGCTTCCCCAAAATTGCTTGGAACAAATAAAGACCTTATAATGTACCTTATAATGATCCTGTCTTCACTGTCCACATACCACCCGAAATGGTTATTGCCTTGTCTGAGAAGAATTCTGCAAGATGGCTCTGGGGCTCAGGTGCCTAAACTGATCCTGTAAAATTCCTAATTCTAGAATAATCTCCGAGTTACATGGGGAGGGGATACCCATTGGGGAATAAGTGAAATGACCCGGATGCTATTTAACGTGAACTCTACACTGCAATAAAAGCACCAGCAGAGAAGACACTATTTAAAGAATATCTTTATTGGGCAGCTAGGTGGCGAAGTGGATAGAGCACTGGCCCTGAAGTCAGGAGGACCTGAGTTCAGATTCGGCCTCAGACCAAACACTTGACACTTACTAGCTGTGTGACCCTGGGCAAGTCACTTAACCCCAATTGTCTTTAAAAAAAAAAAAAGAAAAGAAAAAGACTATCTTTTTGCACTCTTCTGTGAGGGACACCATCCCCAAGAAGCATGCTTGTACAAGGTATGGAGATATATATATTTTGAATGACAGTGGGAATAAAGTAAGGCCTCTCATTCACATCTTCCCCCTGAGATTTGAGCTAATTATTTAACTGCTGACACCTAAAAGTTGGAGGATCACTTAAAAACATTCTCACAGAAGAATATCCAACCCAAGCCTTCTCAAACAGGAACTCTACCTGCGTCACTTGTTCAAAGAGATAGGGTCTATTCTGGACTCTCCTCTTCATTTCCTCCAGTTCTTTCTTATACTCCTTTGTTCTCTTTTGGTCATTGAGCCTAAAATTAACAAGATTTCTATAAAACATTCCATTTTCTTTCAAACTAGAATATGCTTAATTCCATTTGAGTAGAATGATCACCCATAAGTTTTTGTCCTTTAGCAAAATAATTCATTTTCTGATACAACTAGATCATTATATAAAATATTCAATCATCTTGTCAATTCTACCTGGCTTTTTTCAAGACATACTGTTGCATGTTTCCCAGTGTTGGTAGTCAGTCAGTCAATAAGCATTTATTAAATACTTATTAAATATGTGGCAGGCACTGTGCTAAGTATTGTAGAGACTATTCCTGCCAAGACACACCTGTGTGCTTTTGAGGGGATACTAACCAATTCTCTTTCAGCTTTGCTTTGTATGTCTCCTTTAAGCTTTTATGGGGATCCATGGCTTTTGCTCGTGAGGTCACAGATTTGTACATAGCTTGACATTTCTTCCTATGTTGCTCCAACCAGCGGGCACTCTCATTCTCTTTATCTTTCTTTTCTTCAAGAGAGCATCTAAAGAGAGCAAGGAAGAAAGTGAGATGAAGACTGACAACTTAAATATGTGTTATATATATTTTATATAGACACACCCATATAAATATACACACACCATGTCCCAAAAGTCTTAGGGCAGTTTTAAACTTAATATGCAGCTTTTGTCTAGATCTTTGGAGGTCTTTACATAAAAATAAATCATTGGCCCCTATGAAAAGATATACTTACCAAACCCAGGCATTTGTAGAGCAAGTTACAAGGTCCTTCGGGACTAAATACACTGACTTTACAGTCATCAGATACCAGAGTCAATTAATCTAAAGTAATACCCATGCTGCAGAAACTTGTGCAAATCTAGCTTTCCATCAAGCTTCTTGTCTACTAGAAGGCAAAATTTCAAAACATTCAAAACAGGAATGGGGTTGAGCCCATGGAGCTCTGTAAATGCAAATGTACCTACCTAGGGAAAACAGAAATGAGGCTTCCAGTGAGGCCTGCCCCTGGGCACAGGCATCTCATCCCTTCAGCAGCACACTACAGATCTTCACTGAGGTCTTCTAACATTATGTGGACACCAGGCAGCACTCAGATTATTCCTCATGTTTGTCACAGGATAATCCATTCTATTTCCTAGTCGGTATCTCTGACCCCACTTCTTGTACTCCAGCCATCATTGGGAATACGCCACAGCCTAGGTGTACCCTGGTGGACTTCAAGTTGCCTGCCGCTTTGATTATCTGGATGTTGTGGTATTCTATGATTTGTGGCCATACAGTATCACCAGGATTCTTACCAAAGTTGAACTCACTTTCACACCAATCAATCAATAAAAATTTATTAAACAATACTATGTTCCAGGCAATGCATTAAGTGCTGGGGATACATAAAGGGCAAAAGACAGTCTCTGCCCTCCAGAAGCTTACAATCTAACAGGGTGGAAAACAGTCAAACAAATATATACTCAACTCCCCTAAGGTTCCACTCACCATCCCTGTGACTTTTTTTAACCAAGGCACCCTTCTGTGGCCGCCACTCCTCTATATGTTTTATCTTCACTTTTTAGAATATGAATTTCTTGAAGGTAGGCAGCTAGGGGGCCCAGTGGATAGAGGGTCTGGCTTGCAGTCAGGAAGACTCATGTTCCTGAATTTAAATCTGGCCTCAGATTTGAATCCTAGCTGTGTGACCCGGGGCAAGTCACTTAACCCTGTCTGGCTCAGTTTCCTCATCTGTAAAATGAGCTAGAGAAAGAAATGGCAAACCACTCCAGTGTCTTTGCCACAAATGGGGTCACAAAGAGTCAGACATGCCTGAAACAACTGAACAGCAACAAAAAGGATTATCTAACTTTTGCATTTGTATCCCCAACATTATTTTGGCATACAGTAAGTACTTAATAAGTGCCTTTCCATTCATTCATGTCTAACACCTTCCAAATCTCTTCTTGGAAAAAGTATTCAAGATACATAGGTATGAGGCTTCCTTGCAGATTACAAGACCTCTTTCGTTCCTTAATCCTAAGTCAAATTTTCCAATGTATTTTTGCTATCCTCTTCTATGCCAACCTGAGCACTGAAGTCATCAAGTATTAAGCACTTAGTGTTGACAGAGATTGGATGATCACATCAAGTTTCATCTTCAGCAACTGATGTTGTCATATAAACTGCAGATATCTGCACACTAGTCTGAGTCAGTTTTTACAAGGATTTATAGTACTTTCCAGGGATTATCACAAAATAATCAGATGGACCAGTAATGCATAAAGCAGCAAGACTTTCATTACGGCACATTTTAACTCATACAGGAAGACTCAAAGCCTAAATATGGGAGAGCAGGGGCAATAAGAGGAATCTGGGAATGGAGGGGTGAGGGGCTGGGGGTGGGAATACAATTAATTTGCAGTCACCAGAGCCTCAGTGCAATGGTCTTCAAACCACAGGAAGAGAAGAACACAGTCACCAAAGGTCCTCCAAAAAGACTCCCTTTGGCACCCTTTGGACTGGGCACCTATCCAACGTCATCAAGCTCTGTCCTTCCGAGTCAATGTTTAGAATAACAACAACATCTTACTTGATCCTCCCAACATCCTAGAGGGTAGATGCGATTATTATTTCCATTTTAAAGGTTTGGAAACAGAGGTAAACAGATGGAAAGGGACTTCCCCAGGGTCACACAGCTAGTAAGTATCTGAGGCTGAATTTGAACTCAAGTCTTCCTGACTCCAGGTCCAACAAACTATCCACTTCATGACCTAACTACCTCAGACACTTAAAAGATGAATGCCTAAGTTGTACTCACCTTCACACCGATCAATCAATCAGTAAACATTCATTAACACCTACTATGTGCCAGGCACTGTGCTAAGCACTGAGGAGATGCAAAAGGCAGTACTTGCCCTCAAGAAGCTTACACTCTGTAGTGTCAAAGAACTGGAAATTGAGAGGATAGGATGCCCATCAATTGGGGAATATGAATGTGGTATATGAATGTAATGGAATAATATTGTGCTATAAGAAATGATGAGCAGGCAGACTTCAGAAAACCTGGAAAGACTTGTATGGACTGATGCTGAGTGAAGTGAGCAAAACCAGGAGAGCGTTGTACACAGTAACAGCCATGCTGTGTGATGACTAACTTTGACAGACTTGGCTCTTTTCAGCAATACAAGGATCTCTAAAGGTCTCATGATGGAAAATGCTATCCACATCCAAAGAAAGAACTATTGAGTTTGGATGCAGATTGAAGCATACCATTTGCTCTTTTTTTTCTTCTGTTGAGTTTTGTTTCCTCTTTCTGGTGGTTCCTCCTATTGGTTCTAATTCTTACTTAGAACATCATTAATGCAAAAATATGTGTAATAGGAATATATATGTATAGCCTATATCAGATTGCAGGCTGTCTTGGGGAGAGAGGTGGGGAGGGAGGTGGGGAGGGAGGTGGGGAGGGAGGGAGAGAAAAACTTAAAACTCAAAAGCTTATGGAAGTGATCATTGATAATTCAAAATAAATTAATTAAAATAAATAAATAAAATTGGAACCATTAAAAAAAAAGAAGCTTACAATCTAGTAAGAAAGACAACATGCAAACAAATGTATACAAAGCAAGGTATATACAGAATAAACAGGAAATAATTAACAGAGGGAAAGCACAGAGGGGTTGGGAAAGGCTTCCTGTAAAAGATGAGATTTTAGTTGGAACTTAAAGGAAGCCAGGGAAGTCAGTAGCCAGAGCTGAGGAGGACAAGCATTTCAGGTATGGGGGACAGCCAGGAAAAATGCCTAGAGCTAAAAGATGGGTTTTTATTTCAAGGAACACTTTGAACTCACTGAAATCACTGATCAATTTCCCAAATACAGTCAAACTAATTTTCTTCTGTAACAGTGTCTCAGAAGCAAAGAGGTGAGGATCTGATGTTTCCATACAGCTAGGTTTAGAATGATGTACAATGTATATTCCTGCCTTGACACAGGGAATTAAGAACAGTAAAATTCTACCAATTCTACCTAATCTTCTAAATTTCATCTTGCTGACTGTGGCTGAGGACCCCAGTGGTATGGGCTGTGCAGTTTGGACACATGGGATAAATGTTACCTCCATCTCAGTTTGAAATATTACATAGCCTTACACAAATGTCAAAAGGCTTAACTACTCACCTGACAGCAGATTCCCTTTTCCTGGTGGCATCTGTGATGTGTACTGGAAGGGTGTTAGGAGAGAGGGAAGCAAGACCACTTAGAGAACGGCTCCTTTGCAATGGAGCCATGGGCGACTGTGGAGGATTCTAGAAGAGATTAAACAAATGCCCTTGGAACACAGTGTGAGATTTGTCTCTATCCATTCCAAAGTCCATTCAACTAAGGAGTGAAGAGACTAGGAGCTGCCCTAAACAGCACCTTAAACACCAGGCTGAATGCCAGAAGGACTAGGGCTCAAATAACCATGATCAAGGTGGGAACAGCAAGAGCCCCAAATTTCTGCTTTAATTTCTAGTGCCTGCTAATGATGAAACGGAGTTAACCGCTAAATCTGATGGCCTTCTCTCAGTCCTGATCTTTCTTTCCCTCGCTTCAGCATGCAATAGTGCTGACGTACCAGTCTTCCTAGGTGCGCTCTCCTCTTGTGGTGTCTTGGACACTACTCTATCCTGGTTTTCTTTCTGCCTTTCTGACCCCTTTTCTTCTTTTAAGGTTTTATCATCCTCCTCCTATCTGCTAAATATGTGTCTCCCACGCCTCTATCCTTGCCTCTCTTCTCTTTTTAAATTCACTTGGCCAGCTCACTGATGCCTGTGGGTACAATTATTACCCCATCCAGACGACTTCTATATCTGAATCTCTAGACATGCTCTCTCCCTTGAACTCCAGGGCTGTATCTTGTATCTCTCTACCTGGATATCCTTCTGGGATCTCAGACTCAATATATCCCAAACATCATCTTCCTCCCTAAACCCACCTTTCTTTCCATTTCTCTATTTCTATTCATGACTTTATCTTTCTTCCATCCACCTAATTTTGAAACCTCAGAATCTTCTTTGACTCCTTCTTTTCCCTCACCTTCTATACCCAATCAGATGCCAAGTCTAATTGATTCTACCTCCATAACATCTCTTAAATCGAGTTCATGTCCTCATCACCTCCTGAAGGACTACTGTCAAATCTTTCTAACTGGTCTTCCTACTTCTGGGCTCTTTACTCTCTAACTATACTTTGCACAGCTGTCAAAATAAGCTTCTGAAAGTACATGTCTGACCTCAAGCAAAGGCACAGTGGCTGCCCTGGGGTTAGGTCTTCAATACAGCACCTAAAGCTAGAAAGACAGGGACCCTAGGTAAAGCCTAGAGCTGCCTCAACCAGGGCCTTAAACACTAGGCTAAATGCCAAAAGGCATTTAGACACTTCAGGTACCTGGCCTGACACAAAAGAATATTTTCCTACTATATTGGGATGAAACTCCTGAGCAATGTCACATGTGAGGTTAGTAAGGGGCCCAGATCTTTGACTTTTACCTCCCTAATGCCCCTTCCTGCCTCCTGCTAGGTATCAATGCTACCCCTGCTCATCCCAGGACCCTAGAAAGCAGAGGCAGCCAATGAGTACCCAGGGCCAGAAAATCTGCAAGTCCTGCTCCTCTATTTCTAATGATTCAGAATTACTGGTCCTCAGATTGAAAGCCCTCTTCCTCTACTACCTCTCCCCATACTCTTTCACCATCTAGCGTTCTCTTATCATTCTCTAATCCCTAGTAAGTCCCCTAGAAGCCTGCATAATGTTAAACTGCCCTTCATTCTCCATTTCTTCTTCTCACACTTTTCCTATCTTCTTGCACTTATAAAAATCTGGCTTTCTCTACAAGACACTAAATTCCTGGCTGTTTCCAGTTTTGGTTAGATCTTCCCTCCTGTTCCCTAACAAGACAGGAGCTCCCATGCCCAAGTTATGCACTAGGCCATGAGGAAGAGTTGGCATAATATTTCCTCCCTGCTAACATTTCCAGACTCTCCTTTTGCCAGTATAACTAAACAACTTCTCTTCAAGGTTCATGTTTTTTATGTCACTCAGTCCAGATTGTGGTTGCTGTGATATATCAACTTCCACGTCACTCGTCTAGCCTAAGTGCTTATAATCTCACCTTGGGTTCTGTTGATTCCTTGCTGGGCCTCTGTTGGTGGTGGAGATTGGCAGTTCTCAGTTGGAATGGTTTGTTTCGTGTTGCCTCTCGGGTTTCCCTTTTTTGAGCAGCTTCTTTTTGGAAGGCCCTGTAAAGACCCTTAAAGTCAGGGACACTGGGATTCACCCTTGGTTGGAAATCAAAGTCTCTCTGCAGGAAACTGAGTTTTTCTTGCCGCGTCCGAGTGGATATTCGAGACTTGGGATCAGTGTATCTATTAGAAGTGATGGGGGATGAGGCTGTCTGCAGGAGATCTGTGGCCCTTTTCTGTATGCGGAGCTTCCTGCACAGTTCAGCTTCTGTGAGGGAAAAAGTAAGTAAAAAGGCTGGTGGGGGAAGGAGCAAGACAGGAGCTCCCATACCCAAGTTATGTGCTAGAATATTAAATGCTTAGACCACAGCGATGATGATTAATGATCCCCCAGGATTCCCTGGCCCTAAGCCAAGTTAGTTACCCTGCTCCAATAAGGCCAATATTCACCAGCTGGAAAAAAATATTTCCTTGAGTTTACCCATAGTATCTTCTTTCTAAAATACTCAAAGTATTTTATATGTAATTTCACTAACCGTCATAATCTTATGATGTAGTTAGTATGTCAGATGGCTTTCCCCATATGAGCCAGGAGTAGAATCAGGGCTTGATCTCACATTTCTGGATTGCTAATATAGTTCTCTACATACTCAAATATTCTGGTTCACAAGAACTTCAGCTATACCTTTGTGAGAAAAGTATCAGCTAAGTGAGCACAACAATTACCATAAAAAACTTTCTAGCAGCAAATTCTATTATTATGCTGATTAGGTAAAATAATCAAGCTTACTAAAGGAAGTATTCTGCTTGTCTTAAAGGAGGGCTGAGACTCACTGAAAGCTCAGAGGACCATGCTTCCTCTGATGATGAGGCCAAAGATGATGGATGCTACCTCATAAATAACTGAAATCCATTATAATTATTTCTCTGAGTGTATGCCCAGATCCTTTGAATCTTGATATAGTGCTCTAAGGTTCTTTTCTCTAAGACCTATACATGCAGGAAAAGAGCAAGAAACTGGGGGATCAGGAGGTGATGCAGACTTCTTCGGAAGATATTCTGCTTTACCTTTGAGCTTGTCACCCAAGGCTGGCTCCAAGACTGACTTGGGGATCGTCTTGGTGACTTTTTGCTTTGAAGTCTTTGCTTGAGTCATTGCTGCTGAGGCTTTCTGTCGAATGGCTTCTTTTTTTTGCTCTTCCTTCTCCAGGAAGCTGAAGGGTTTAAGCAAAGACAGGAGCAGTTCTTTCCTCTTCTGGATTCCTGCTCGTCTACGGGCCTCATTCCGTTCCATGATCTCCTGATAGAGGGGCAGATGGACGTGAGCGGGCACTGGTTGGGCCTGGAACTTCTTCTGGCACTCGGCGTCCTCCTGCTCCTGCTTCTCTGCTTGCTGTCTTCTTAGTTCAAATGAGGCACAGGATGGCAGACACCGGGACTTCTTATGTGCCTCCCGCACTGTCATGTGAAAGGGCTCGGGGGTGGTGACAAAGGGGACCCAGGCCAGGGTTCTCCTATGTGGTGGGCAGTGGCCAGAAGCTGAGGAACTTGCTTGACCATAAAAGTTTTCTTGTGTAAGGTCACTCAAGGACTTGGACCGCTTCAGGCTGTCAGATCTGAGGGGGAGAAGTCAAGGGTTACCTAGTCTGTTTTTAGAATTTGGGAGAGGGAAGCGAGTCTCTTTCTACCCTGGAGTCAGCAGCCTAAGACCCAGAGTGGAAGGCTTCCCTATGTTCTCTTTTCAACAGACTTATAGTATTAGGGTTCCATACTCTAAATCAGTGATGAGGGATACTCCTCCCCTTAATTGCCAATCCTTTCTCTTGGGTTATAAAGGCCATCTCCCTGTGCACAATATCTCCTCACAACAAAATTAATGGTTATCATTTTTCACCCACACTGCTTTCTTCTTTTGTTTTTTTTTTTTGGGAAGGAGTAGTCTGCTTAGATGTGTTATGTTTGGGGAAAGGTATTCTTTTCTTATATCTAGTAATTTAATTTATTAGAATGTATTCACAACCCAACTAGAACATGAGAGGAATTGAGTTATTTGATATTTAAGAATTTTAAAAGTACTTTGATGTGATATGCTTTATATCTCTAAGTTTCTTAAGGGATACATTTGTCCTTTTCTGGAAAATTGAGGCTAGGTTGATAAGTCTGTCTAAGCTGTTACAATGCTTATTGTTACTGATTGCAAAAAATCAACAAGTATTTATTAAGCCCTGACTATGTGCCAGCCACCGTGCTAGGTGCTGGAGATACAAATATATAGAATGAAACAATCCCTACTCACAAGTTTACATTCCAGTAGGGAAGACTACAGTATATATAAAATATATATAGAATAAAAATGAAGATAATAAACATATATGTGTATATACACACATACATAGACATTTAACTACTTTGTGTGCATATATAAATACATACCACACCACACACACACACACACACGCGCGCACACACACACACACTAGTTAAATACAAGGTAGGTTGGGAGGGCACTGGCAGTGGATGGTGTTAGGAAAGGCTTCATGCAGAAGATGATGCCTGACCGGCTTCCTAAAAGAAAACTGTGAGGAAGAGGTAAAGAGGAGTGCATTACAGGCATTAGGGACAGCCAGTGCAAAGGCATAGAGATGGGAGATGAAAGGCCAGTTTAGCTGGATCAGAAAGCATAGGACAAAGAGTAATATCCACAGAGGCAGAAAAGGTAGGTTAGGGCCACACTGCATAGGACTTCAAAAGCTAATCATTTTCCCCTCCTTGGACTGGACTCCATTACGTCTCCAGGAAACTTCACTTTCAGGGGACTTGTCATCAGCTTTGGGACACACACTTCAACAGTACCCAGAGTATTCTCTGGCCTTCTGATTGGAGGACTAGAGAGCAAAGAATGCGTCTCAATGACTCCTTTTATAGTGGGCTCCTAGGCCAGCCATCTCCTACCTGCACTCCTTTAGACTAGCCTCCATCATGGCCCTCCAATTTTTCAGCTTCCTTCTATGTGTTGTCTTCTCCCATTAGATTGTCAGTTCCTTGAGGGCAGGAATTGTCCCTTTTCACTTTCGTATTTCCAGTGCTTAGCACAGTGACTAGGCACATACTAGGCACTTACTAAATGTTTACTGACTGAGTTTGTGTTTGGAGGCAATAGGAAGCCGCCACAGTAGGTGAGTCGCATGGTCAGATCTTCACTTAAGGAAAATTACGTTGGCAGCAGTGTATATGATCGACTGGAGAGAGAAGAAACTTGAGACAGGGAGACTAGTAAGGAGGCGATTGCAATAATCTAGGCAAGTAGTGATGATGGCTTGAATTGAGGAGGTAGCTGTGTGAGTGCAGAAAAGGAGCTGGATGTGAAAATGATGTAAAGCTAGAAAGAGCAAAGTCTGACCACTGACTGGATATGCAGTGTGAATATGAATGAGGAATCTAGGAGAATGCTGAGATTATGCACCTGAGCCACTGGAAAGATGGTGGTTGGCTATGTGGTGTGAGGAAGAATGAGAAATCTAGGACAATGCTGAGATTATGAACCTGAGACACTAGAAAGATGATGGTACAGAAATAGGCAAGTTTGGGAAAGAACTAACAAGTTCAGTTTTAGACATGTTGAGTTTAAGATGTTTCTGGAACATCAAGTTTGAATTGTTGAACAGATGATTCGTGATACAGGACTGAAGTTCAGGGGAGAGACAGTTGATGTGGGAGTTGATGACAGTTAAATTCATGGGAGTTGATGAGTTACCTAGAGTGAGACTGTATTACTGAGGGGGGTGCCCAGGAAAGAACTGTGGGAAATATTCACAGTTAAGGGGTATAATGTGGATGATGAGCCAGCAAATGAGAATAAGAAAGAATGGTCATACAGGTAGGAAACAAGCCAGAAGAGATTTGTGTCACAAAAACCCAGAAAGGAATATCCAGGAGGACAGGGTGGTCAGTAGGGTCAAATGCAGCAGACTGGTAGAGAAGGATCAGGGAGGACCGAGGAAAAAAATCATCAGAATGGGCAAGTAAGAAATCACTGGTAACTCTGGAGAGAACATTTTCAGCTGAGTGATTAGGTTGGAAAGCGAGACTGCAAAGGGGGAAGGAGTGAGAGCAGTGGAGACAATGAGTGCAGAGAACTTTTTCAAGTCTGACTGAGAAAGGAAGGGAGAGATAGAGGACTGAGGGGAGAGTAGAGTCAGTAGAGCAAAGGTTTTATAAGGATAGAAGCGGTTTGGGCGTGTTTGAAAGCAGTATGGAGGGAACCAGTTGATAAGGGAGAAGCTAGACTAGAGAGAGAAGAAATAATTGAGGATCTAATTTGCAGGAGAGGTCATCTGGTGCACATGGAGAGAAGCTGGTCTTGGTGAAGAAAAAGGGCCAGCTCTTCATCAGAACCTGGCGGAAAAGAGGGGAGAGCGGGAAATGATGTTAAGGGATTCTGAGATGAAGAGAATGGGAGAAAAGGAAGCCATGTCAAATGGCCTCAATTTTTTTCAGAAGCCTGAGAAGGTGGGAGGAAGGGAAGGAAAGAAGCGTTTATAGAGCATCTACTATGCGCCAGGCAATGTGTTAAGCATTTGACAAATTTTTTCTCACTGGATCCTCACAACAACCCTGCAAGGTCAGTGCTGCTCTTATCCCCACTTTACAGCTGAGGAAACTAAGGCAAACAGAGGGTAAATGACTTGTTATTTCAGTTGTTCAGTCATTTTTTCAATCATGCTCGACTCTTTGTGACTCCATTCGGAGTTTTCTTGGCAAAGATACTGTGGTTTGTCATTTCCCTCAGCTCATTTTACAGATGAGGAAACTGGGGTGAACAGGATTAAATAAGTCACCCAGGGTTAAACAGCTGATAAGTGTCTAAGGCTGAATTTGAACTCTGATCTTCCTGACTCCAGGCCCAGGCTCTATCCACTGCACTAATTTGCTACCTATACGGAATAGATTGGGGGGGGGTTTAGTAGAGAATTGGCATATTTCTATTTAGCAAATTTCATATAGGAAGGGGAGCCCATTTCTATCTACCCAAAAGCATAGGTCTGCAACATGGGGGGCCAACACACACAGCTGCAGTACAAGCAAAATGGGGCCACGATGAAGAACTGGCAGATGAGTTAGTACAAGTAACAGGCTCTTAGAAGAGCACCCTACATGTGAGCCTTTATGAGGTCCACAGTCCCCACTCTAAAGAGAGGTTCTTACTTACATAACAGAGTGATGAAATTTGGCCTGTGGTCTCTGCCTGTTGCTGTCTTGGAAGAGACACTCCAGTTTTGTGTCTCCTACAGAGGATTCATCGTCCAGTTTTGCCTGACACGCTGAGTTTCTTCTCAGTGAACAGCGTCTGTTTTTTTTCTTCTGTGCCTGAAAAATCTCATAAAAATATTCATCTGAGTCGAAGGTAGTCAAGTCTGTCTCAGTCTCTTCATGGAGGAAATCCTCCAGTTTTCCTGCCCTGTGCAAGACAATTCCATTCTCACATGGTTCTTCCTCTGTCTCTGTGTCCGAGGATGCTTCGGGGTGGAATGCCTAAGGGGAAACAAAGATGGCTGGTTAGCAAAACCGTAACCTTAGTGCAGACCTCGAATGCTCTCCAAAGCCACTCTCGTGTCCAGATTTCCAGCCTACCCTGTTGTTCTTTGTGTGCCTATATATCTCTAAGTCTCGGTTAATGTTGCCTTTTAGCTCTTAATCTCTGTCTCATACCTATGTAATACCACAGGCATTATGAAATCTTAGTTTAGCATAAACTAAGCATGGGACTGAGAATAAACTTTGCATAAACCTTTAATACTCCATTCCCTTCACCTATTGTACTTATTCTCCTTTAAGGAATGAGCTAGTCTACTTATAACTCCCAAAAGGTATCCCTGGCTTCTCATACTAGCTGACATTTATATAGCACTTTCAAATTTACAAAAGGCTACACATACTTTATTTGATTTTATCTTCTCAACTACCCCAGGAGATAAGTACTACAAGTATTATTAGCTCCATTTTACAGATGAGGAAACTGAGGCCTATAGGCCATACAGCTAATAAATGACGGAAATAAAATAATTCTAACTTGGTCTCTCATGATTCTAATGCTCTTTTCAGAATTGGAATGGGGAACCTGTTACTTGTACTTACTCATCTGCCAGTTCTTCATTGTGGCCCCATTTTGCTTTTACTGCCTGTGTGTGTTGGCCCCCCATGTTGCAGACCTATGCTTTTGGGTAGATAGAAGGTAGACAGAATAATCTGATAACGATAATAATCAACATTTATACAATACTTCTAGGTTTGCAAAATAATCACCTCACAACAACCCTGTAAGACAGGTAGTGCAAGTATTATTCCCATTTTAAAAATAGAGAAACTGAGGCTTTGAAGAGCGATTAAAAGACTTGGTCACTTGTTTCACTGCTAGTAAGTGCCTTAGGCAGGATTTGAATTCCAGGTTACTTATTTTACCCAAAGAATCATAGACACTTGGAGTTGTAGGGAACCTCAGAAACGATCTTGTCCTACCTCTACCTGAAAAGAAATTCCCCTTGCAACACTTTTCTGGGCTTGAAGACTTCCCATGGTCTCCCACTGCACTTTTAGACAGTTTTAATTGTTAAAGTTTTTCTTTATGCTAAGCCTAAATTTGCCTCTGAAATTTTTGCCCCTTTGTCCTCATTTGCCTGAGGTCTGCCCTCAGGAGCCAAAGAATAAGCCTAATCCTTCTTCTCTGTGAATGCCGTACAAGCCCCTCATTTGTCAGAGACCCCAAAGGGGTGTGAGGTAACTCGTCCAGGGTCACAAGGATAATGAGTATCCGGTTAGATCCTCTGGCTTCTGGTTCATTGTGCTTTTCCCCTTCATACCAGGTTTCCTTCTTATAAGGGCCATGCCCTTGGCACTGACCTTTGGTTTTACATGCCTGCTGTGCTTATGCTAGCTGTTTTACTAACAAGAGTTATTAAATCACTAGCATTGATAGAGTGCTTTAAGGTTTGCAAAGTGGTTTATGAATGCTATTTCATTTTATTCTCACAACAACTCTGGGAGGTAAGAGCTATTCACTAACCCTAACTCCATTTTAAAGATGAGGAAACTAAGGCAGATTAAGTGATTTACCCAGGGTAATCCAGTGATTATGAGTCTGAGGTTGGACTTGAATTCATGTCCTCTTGACTCCAAGTCAATTCCTCTATTCATTGTGCCCTCCTAACTGCCTCTATTCCTCTCAAACATTTCACATTTTCTCACATCCAGGAAATGTGAATAGAAAGATTATTAACAACATAATCAGATTTTTGATCACTAAATTTATATTTGGAAGGGACTTTTGAGATCACCATCAGCAAAAGTGCATTTTTGGGAGAACCTAACTGACTCCATTTTGTGCTATATTTGCTGTTATGATATTTCTTTCTTTTTCTATGTGATACTGAATGTACTGAATGTCTCCTTCAATGCCTACCTTTCCCCAATCATTCTTACAGTTACAAAATAAAATTCATAGGAATTTGAACAGTTCCTAAGAACCTATCCACTTGTCCTTATCTTAGTGAATAAAACACGTAATAGGAACTCAACAAATGGTAATTGACTGATTGATAAAGAAGATACAGTTTTCTTTAGTCTAATGTAAAGAAAGAGCTTTGATGCTCAAGGCCTTTGTAACAGTTTCAGCATCCTTTTTCTTTTGCTAAAAACATACCTTTGCCTAAGTGCCCTATTCGACCTTCCCTCAGACTGCTTTGTAAACTTGCCTTGTGACCTACCTGATTTTACCTAATTCTCATGTAGCTCAGGGGAAGAGACTATACATATACACACACATAGGTCATTTGTGGAACTGATACACATGAGATACACATGTCCATTACTTACTGATGGATTGTGTCACATTTGTGAGTAAATAAACTGTTTGTCTCTAACCTATGCTGGCTGATTTATGCAGTGGCTATCAAGGACTCTTAAAAATTTCTGCAACACCATCCAGTATGATAATTTATTGTTGTGGAAAATAGGTGCAATTCAGGGAGCAGACTGAGATATATTTTTGGACATGCCCGAATATTTTGCTTGGCCACTGCATATTTTTATGAGAATTTTCTTTTCCTTATTTAAAATGGAGTTAGGGAGACAAAATAGATTGTTGTTAATTCAAAAATTTAATTTAAAAACCAGCACAGAGAATGATTTGCTCAAGGTCACACAGAAAGGAAATAACAAAGCTGGTATTTGGCTCCAGATCATTATTCTAAAAGCAGTGTTTTTTCCTCTACCACTTCAGGCTGCCTTCTTGTAAAAGACAGGAAGCACGTGTTACAGTGGAAAATGCATCTGAGTACTTTATATTCCTTCCCCCAAGTAGAACGTAATCTTTTTGAGGGCAGAGACTGTTTTTCCTTTTTTTTTTTTTAATATCCTCAGAACTTAGCACAATCCCTCTCATGCAGTATTTAATGTTAAAATACTTGTTGGACGGGACCATAAGTTAGGAAACCTGGATTGAAGCCCCAACTTTGCCACTGCTAAACAGAGAACTTCCCCTACCCAGCAATTCCCCTCCATAGGCCTCATTTTTCTTCTCGATAAAATGAAGGAGGGTGCTTTTACTTGATTATGCATACTTATTAGCAGGTTTTTTTTTTTTAATTGTTGCTTTCAGGGTTTATTTTTAAATTTTTTTTTCAAGGCAATCGGGGTTAAGTGACTTTTCCAGGGTCACACAGCTAGTGTCTGAGGCCGCATTTGAACTCGAGTCCTCCTGACTCCAGGGCCGGTGCTCTATCCACTGCACCATCTAGCCGCCCCCAGGTTTTTTTTTTTAAATGAGTTTTTAGGATGTGACATCATCAATTTCCCCTATCATTCCTCCCTTTCACAGAAGGCCATCCTACATCATTCAGTGGGGAGGGGGAAGGAGGAGGTAGCAAAATAGACTGTTTAATTTGGAAAAAAAAAAGTAATAAAAAATGAGGTGGAGTGACCACTGGCAGTTCTATGAAATGAAACAAACCGGTTCAGCTACACCCCGCCCCCACCCGCCCCATCAGGCCCCGCCCCCTCTCCTCAGGTCGGCCCCCCCGGTCTCCATGGTAACGACGAAGCCGGTCTCCTTCCCCACAAGGATCCAGTTCTAGAACCCAATGCCGGTTCCTTCCTCCCTCGCCTCTTCTTCCTCACCTGGCTGCCTCGTTCTCCGCATTCGCGGGCTGCAGCAGACCTCCCCACGGTCATCTCCTCAACGAGACTGCAGCGAGGACACGGACAGGTGCGCTGCTCCCTCTGCCAGTTACGCCAAGGCCTAGCCCCGCCCTCCCTGCTTGGTACTGAAAACCCATTGGTCAAGTCCTTCAGAGCCAATTCCCTTCTCCGTCTGACTTGTTACCCTAGGATCATCCAATGAGCAATACCAGACCTGCCTTCTGATTGGTTGAGCCGAAGCTGCCGCCGTCTCTCTTCTTTCTGTAGCAGATTTTGACCAGCTAAGTTCCGGAAAAGAGCTTAGCGATTGGTGGGTGGTGCCCCGGAAGCATTCTGGGACGGTGGAAGGGCGTGACCAGTCGCTGCCCTCTCGGCTATGGCGGCCTGCACCCGGTTGTCCCGGGCTCTGCTTGTCCCTGGAGCAACCTTGGGAGGCCCGAGGCTGCCGGGGCTGAGATGGTTGAGCGGGTCGGTGGGGCCAGGCCAGGCCGTCTACGATGTGGTGGTGGCCGGCGGAGGCATGGTCGGGACCGCCATGGCCTGTGCCTTGGGTAAGATACGCCCGGGGTGGGGGGCAAGGGCAGCCCCGGGCAGGGATCCCGTAACGCCTTCTGTTTGAGTGCTCAGCGAGGAATTGTTTTTGAAGACTTCCCCCCCACGTACAATATCCCATTTGTGTCTCGCAACTAACCCAGCGAGGTAGATGGTGCAATCGTTTTTTATTCCCATTTTACAGATTAGAAAACTGAGACTCAGCGAACTGCCCAGATTCAGGAGTACCGGAGTCAGTATTCGAATCCAAGTCTATTACTTCCTTTTCCCCATTTTGCAAATAAGGAAATTGTGGTTCGGAGAAATGAAATGTGATTTGCCCTTGAGAAGAGACCCAGGCCCGGCCTTCCAGACTCCCAATCAATGTTCCTCCCACTGCATCACCTGCCCCTACAGCGTTGCAGAGTAACATTCATGCATTTCCTGGGAATGCTTTCTTTTTTAAAGTCGTATAGTCATACTTATTTGGAGCTGAAACAGACCTTAGAGGTTATCCTTTGGTTAGATCTCATTTTATGTATGAGGACACAAAGGCCCAGAACTTGTTCGTGGTCAAACATGTAATTAAGTGGGCAGAGTTATGGTTTGGACACGGGACCTCTGATTTAAAATCCAGTATGTAAAAATACTTTTGGGGTAGTTAGGTGGCGTAGTGGTTAGAGCACCCAGCTCTGGGGTCAGGAGGACCTGAGTTCAACTTAGACACATAACACTAGCTGTGTGACTCTGGGCTAGTCACTGTTACGTTGCCCAATTTAAATTGCCTCAACAAAAACAAACCAAAAAAACCTTTCCACTCTGCCATATCTGTTTCCAATCGGCCAATCAATATCAAATAATCAAAAAATTAAAAATTAAGAGCCTACCACATGCTAAGTGCTGGGGATACAAAAAGAGGCCAAAGAATCTCTGCACTGAAGGAGCTTATGATCTAATAAGGGAGACAACATGCAAACATATATACAAAGTAAGCTGTATACAGGATAAATTCAAAGTAATTCATAGAAGGAAGGCATTAGAATGAACAGGGGTTGGGATAGACTTCCTGTAAAAGATGAGCTTTTGGTTGAGACTTAAAAGGAAGTCAGGGAAGTCAATAGAGAGAGGGAGGAGAACATTCCAGGTATGGGGGACAGCCAGAGAAAATTCTCGCATTCTCTTGGAATAGCCAGGAGGCCAATTTCACTGAATTGAAGAGTACATGTTGGGGAATGAGGTGTAAGAACACTGGAAAGGTAGAAGGGGGCTAGGTTATGAAGGACTTTGAAAGTCAAACTACATTTTGTATTTGATCTTGGAGGCAGTAGGGAGTCACTGAAGTTTATTGAATAGTGACAGACCTACACTTTAGGAAAATCACGTTAGAGAATGGGGAGTAGGTTGGAGTGGGGGAACAAACAGCAGGCAGATCCATTTTGCAGGCTATTGTAGTAATCCAGGTGTGAGGTGATCAAGGCCTGTACCAGAACGGTGGCGGTGTCGGAGGAGAGTAGAGAGTGTATTTGAGTGTATTTCCAAAGGTAAAATGGACAGGCCTTGGCAGCAGATTGGAGGGGGGCAGGGTGAGAGAGGAGCCTGTGGGACTGGGAGGATGGTGTTGCCCTCTATACTAATAGAGAAGGTAGGAGGTGAGGAAGATTTAGGGGGAAAGATAATGAGTTCTGTATTGGACATAATGAATTTAAGATGTCAACAGGACATCCAGTTTGAGATGTCTGAAAGGCAGTTAGAGATGGGAGATTGGAGGTCAGCAGAGAAAGTGGGGCAGGAAAGGTAGATTTGAGAATCATTAGTATAGACATGGTAATTAAATCCATAGGAGCAGTTGAGATCATCATATGAAATAGTATAGCAGAAGAACAAAAGAGGGCCCAGGACAGGATCCTGGGGGACACCATTGCCATATATAGTCTCTTAAGTTTCCCATCAGCTCTTTTATCCCAGGAGCCTATAAATTACAGTCAACTGGAATTAAAAAGCTTCTGCTATGAGAGTGTTAAAGACTGTAAGCTCCAACCAGTTTGAGATGTTTCATTCTTTATACTCTTTAGCACCCACTACACTACCAGGCACATAGTAGGTACTTAGTAAATATATATTGATTTGTTTAAGGGTGAGCTGGCAAATGTTTCATTAACATTACTGTTGTACATTTTTACCATCAAAAATAAAAATGCTTTGCTTAGCTAGGTCTCACTCAGTTAACAGCAAGTTTCCAGGAAACAAGTTGAAATTCCCTGTGGCTTCCAACAGTAGTAAAATTGGAGAATGTTGCCAGTGGAGAGTTTGCAAAAGATGTCACATCCCACTGAAACAATGAAAACAGCTCTGCTGAGCTTGTGGTTTATAGGATCATGTTTAGGTTGGGAAGGAACTGGAAGGTTGTCTAGTCTAACTGTCTCATTTTACAGGTGAGGGAACTTCTGAATTCCAGAGAGGGGAAGGAGATTGCCCACACTCACCACACTGGTGGTAGGTAGCAGAACAGTAATTTGAAGAGAGGATTTTTAGCTCCCAATCTAGTACTACTTCTACTCCACCACGTGTTTGGTGATGCTGGCTGGGTCAGTGCTCAAAACTTTTGCACCATGTGATCCTTGAAAGATGGTGGGTGGGATAGGTGGTGGTCTCCTTGCACTCCTCCTAAAAAAAAAATCACTTTAAAAGAAAAAAAATGTGCCTTGTAGACTTCATTGCTATCTAAAAGGTATTTGAAGTTCCATAGCTCTGATTTCCTCTGGAAGATAACATATATTATAGAGCTGAATTTTAACTTCTTCATCCTTCGAACCATTTTTTTAGTTATACAAAATGGCCTTTCATGAATATCTTGACACTTTCTTTTATTTTCCTCCTTATCCTTCCCACTTTCATCTTGCTCAAATGAATATTTCCTATCCATTAAGAGTCTCATAATTCTTCTAGAGAAGATCATTTC